GGGGCTCAGATTTTAATCACGTAGTCGTTACTTGTTTTTTTATAATACATAATTAACTAGTAATTTAAGTATGCATGCAGTCTTATGCTATAAAGAAGAGTATGAGCCAAATTATTTTTTTTTAATTTTTTGCCTGTGAAATCATTAAAAATCATAATTATGAATTACTACGTAAAAATTAAGGTGGGGGGGTTGGCATGTATTACGAGTGGGCTGAGGGGAGGGAGGGATTGAAAAAAACTAAAAAAAATAGGTCACGTAATATGGGTATGTTCCCTAATGTTTGTAGTATATTCATGATAAAATTGGAATGTCTGTATGTATACCAAAAAAAAATAATATATGAACGCGAGTACGCGTTTATTACGTGTAAACATTTCATACACAAGGCAACGTATTATGTCTCGAGAATATTTTCTTTCTGTGCATCTCCTCCGTCGATTAAAGGTAGGCAACGCATATGCAATTGCGTATGTCTATGGGCAACGGCCACTTCGCTATTTCAGCGATTTCAGGTGACCGCTCGCTCGTTTGCCATCTTATGATATAAAAAAATGTCTCATCTTATTCCCTAATAAAATTACTTGTGGTTATGTTTTCTTAGCCGCATATATTTTTTTTCCTTTAATAACTATTTTCGAGGATTTAATTTAACGTTTTTTTTTTAATTAATCGTAATTTTTTTTTAATTTGCGACTTTGGTATTAAAAAATTATAGTTTGAAGGATATATTTTTGATAATTTCACTCGTAACATATCTGAATATATCTAAACTCAGGGTTTCTAACGAATTTAATAGTTTTTTTTTTGTCTATAACAATTTTTAAAAACATTTTTGTAACTAATGTAAGTAAAATTGGATATTTTTAAACAAAAAATTGATGAAATTTTATTGTTAACTTTCAATTACATATGTCTAAATGAACGACGTAAAAATATGACTCAATGTCACATTTGACAATTTAAAAAACAACGCATCTGTAGTTCCTCTGGTGTTGCTGATGTCCATGGGTGTCGTTGAACACCTCGGTGTTCCCGCCGCTAGTTTACCCCCTAATCTTATATAAAAAAAACAACGAACAAAAAAATATTTTTTAAAAATCGAATAAATTGTTATCGATTCATCGCTTACTATAAAAAACACAGTGCCGTAATAACTGTTAGATTTTTTTAATGAATATAAATACGGCTCTGGACCAAGAATGTTACTATTTTAAAAAATTACGTTTTAAAATTCGACCAAAATTTTATACGAGGCATTTAATGTCTACTGTTAAAAAAAAATTAAATAAAAAATCATTTTATTAAACACTAGCTGTTGCCCGCGACTCCGTCCGCGTGGATATATAAAAAAAACTAAATTAGTGTAGCCTATGTTTTCTATCAGACTATGTTCTATATGTATGACAAATTTAATCGAGATCCGTTCAGCCGTTCTAGAGATATCTTCAAACATACATCCATCCACATCACATCCATCTAAACATACGCATTTATAATCGCTCTTCAAGGTATAGATTCGAAAAAAAATGAATAAATAGTATCCTATGTCCATCTCCTGGCTCTAAGCTACCTCCTCAACAATTTTCAGGCATATCGGTAAAGCCATTCTTGAGTTATAAATAGTGTAACTAACATCACTTTCTTTTATATATGTAGACGTTTTTTAATAGAAGTTTGACGTCTTGAAAGGTCGATTTTGCAAACATCATTCAGAGTTGAAAATGACGGAACTAAGAGAATTTAACTCCACTTTTAGGTCTTTAGGCTTTCTTTTGTGTTATTTATCTGTTCGTTATATATGATATTTATGTAAAAAAAAAACTTTTAACCTTCAGTTATACGATATTTTATGTTTTTTTTTATTATAAGATTATACGATATTATAATTAACGTTAACTTTCTATGAATAGAACAAAATTATATTCAAAAAATTGTCAATTTAAAAAAAAACCGTCCTGAACTTAATCGAATTATGTTATTTATTTCCCGCCATAAAATAACGTCCATAGATTAAAAAAAATATTTTGAATGTTGCCAGCATTTTGTTTTTTTTTATAATACATTCTTATTTTGATGCGTCTTGTCAAAATACTGTAATAGTAAATTTTAATTATGTGCTTATGAAAATTTATATAATTTATTTTATACTTTTTTAATATTATATTTACTTTAAGAAATTATAATGCGTCTATTTAAGATAGATTAGTTCGACAATTAGATATGGGTTGAGTAAAATCGATTAACACGTTAGCTGGCAGAATGATTTTTCGAAAAACTATTTTTTTTTTTAATTTTGTCCAAAACCATTTGAATGGGTCCTTGCGTGTCACGCTGTATACAACTGTTAAAAAGCCACAGCGAGGTATTGAATGGAAGTATGGCTTGTCGGACAACATAGTCCGACATGGCAGTTAACGTGTTAATATTTTCCATTTTCGATGTTTGTTCTGATAGAACTTGCGATCGATTTCGTGATTATTGTTTTTGATTTACAATATAAATGAAATGGTTTCTTTTTATACCGACTTTATTCTTTAAAACTACGTAGAAAAATAATATTAAAACCACAAATTAAAATGTTGAGAAAAGAAAAGAACTGTTTTTAATGTTTTTTAGGGTTACGTACATCATAGGAAAAAACGGAACTCTTATAGGATCGCTTTGTTGTTCGTCAGTCTGCCTGACAAGACTCTTTTTCTCTAAAACGCGTTAAGGTATCAAGCTGGAATTTTTTTTATAGAAAAATGTGCGAGACAGCTAAATATCTAGTAAATTTAAAAAGTAATAAAATACGTAAGTCGTAGTATTTATTTGTTGGATTAATTTTATAACAAGACTTGATTCTCGACACTCCGACACTATAACGTCCATTAAGTACAACATTAATTCTCATACAAAATTAATTATATATTTTATAGGCGTCAGTTGTCAAACTAGTCTATCTTAAATAGATACAATATACTAGCAATGCTTTTTATTTCCATTTGTAAAGAATTCCGTGTTTATTCGACCAATTGTTAAAATTATGATCTCGCTGCATTTGACACAAAGGTCCTTCTACAAATTACGTCATATGTTGGATGGAGGTCAAATTGTGACGTCACAGTAACTGACGTGTGGGGGGGATTTCAAATATGACGTGTTTAAAAAAAATCATGGAATTCGTATGACGTAATTTATAGATGGCACCAATTTTGAAATGACCAGAAATATATGTCGTGGATTCATCTCTTGGTTTAATTAAAAAAATACGTTACACCATCGACAATTTATTTTAATTATTTGAATCTCATAATATTAACGCAAATGTCTATGGTTTAGAAGTTTAATTATGTTGAAATATGCAACGATAGTCAGTGGTGCAGTGGTTAAGCAAGTCAGAGTCCGGATTTTATCGCCGCAATTAAAAATGTTTATCAAGTTTTGAATTTTGTATGTAAAGCCAGTTTTGGATTTTAATTGCCACGTTCCTTGCCTTCATCGCCCCTAAGAAAGAAGAAAGCGCATAACTCAACAACGACTGGACCAATTTGGTCATTTTTTTAAAATGTTCGTTGAAGTTTAAAGATGGTTTTTACGGCGAGAAAAATATATATAATTGCCGGGGACGAAGTCGCGTGCGACAGCTAGTTAGGAAATAATTAATAATTAAAACTTACTTAGTCGTGTACCACTGGCTGACCTTTTTTATAAAATACATTTTAGAAATCAAGAGATGTACGCACAACGTATATTTGAAAAAAAAACAACGATGTTGTAGATTTAACTTTTGACATGTGTCATTAGTCTATGGTAAGAGTGAAGAGTATTATCTCTGATATAAAAGGATGTGACTATTTAAAATGATAAATGTCAAGATAAAAAAAATATGAAAGGAAATATTGAAAATTCGCTCAAAACGACAAAATTTGATTTTTTTTTAAATTTTAAATTGGTTTTATCGAAAAGTATTAATTTGATTATTTAGCTTATATCTGTTTAGTGATAGATTATTTTAAATAATTACCAAGTATCAAGGTTATTTTAAGCTATATTTTACGTAATTTTTTAAAAAACAGACTAATTAAGAAAAAGAGTCTTTGAACTCTAAAGTACGCACAAATTTGTAATGTCTGGTTATAATTTTTTTTTAATATAAAATAGTTAAGTTTTAAAAGCATAAAATTTATGTTTCAAATGTATTTTGTACTTTGACATTCTAGAATTTATAAAGATTCATAATCAGAGGATTTCATTGTTGAAATTGTAAATATCGTCGTCTCTTTCCTTCTCTTTGATAAAAACAGAGACGAATATACAAGTGTTATTACATTGGATTATTGACTCGATTTATATTTAAAAGAATTTTTTTTTAAACTAATTCTACATGACAAAAAATAGATTAAGATTATCCATCTTGATGTGTTTATATTTGAATTATATTTGGCATCAGGAAAAATAAGCCTTGTTATTTATTTATCAAACAAAAAAAGAAACTTGTCTTTGGTCACATTTAGTCTTTGACATGTATAGACAAAGACAACTTTTTTTTTTGTAACACCAACCTTCGCGAAAATGCAACACAGACGGTCGTTTTTTTAACTGTTTTATTGTAATTTTTTTTATATTTTTTTTATTATATGTCATTTTTTATTTTTTTTTGAAGACGGGCGTATCGCCTTTCGTGTCTGTGCTGCCATTTTGGCGGGGAAATAGTTTTTTTTTTTTAAATTGTCGTTGTACTTTTTTTTAATATATTGTCATTTCATTTACGACCGTCGTAATAATGTGTTGCATTTTCTCTATTTTTTCCCGATACCAACCCGATGGCTGCTGGAATGGTGGATTGGTAACATACACTTCCATACACTTTACACAATTGATTCAATTAACTGCTGTAATTTTCTGAATTATTAACGATATTTTGTGTAACTGAATTTAAACATTTTTTGTATATAAAAACACTTTACATCTCAAATATAATTTACAACACACTTGACAACAAACCCTTTTTACATGGCACACTTAACAACACAGTTACTTCAGCGCAGCTACTCCAGCTCAAACAGAGAGTAGCTTTATGGATAGCGAATTATTTGAACAAATACGAGCCTTCGAACCAGACGGACTTGACGACTTTGATTTCTATAATGGGAATATGAGCATGAAATAAGGTAAATATAACTACAACATAACTTGATGTCGCCTTCGACTCCGTACGCGCGGTATAAAAAAATAGTAGTCTATGTGTTCTTCCAGACTAAGTTCTCCATCTATGTTAAATTTCAGCAAGATCTACGAAGCTGTTCTGGAGATATCTTCTAACAAACATACATCTAAACATTCACATTTATAATATTACTTGCTTTGTCCCGTGACTCCTTTTGCGGGGAATTAAGAAAAATAGTAGTCTATGTGTTCTTCCAGACTATGTTCTATATTAATGTCAAATTTCATCGAGATCTATGCAGCTGTTCTGAAGATACTTTCGAATAAACATTCATACATCTAAAGTTATTATATACGAAAGATTAAAACACTTTGAAGATGGCAATAATTTTTTTAGGTGTCAACACGGAATTTACCAGTAGTTGTGAGTTGGTGGTTATTTTATGACAAAAGTTTCGAGTCAATTTTTTAAATAGCTTATACATAGCACCGTGCCATAGATTCAAAATCAAAATATATTATGTATATGAAAATATGTAATTATTGAATGCAGTCACTTAAATTAGAATTTGTATGTAATTTTTAAGAAATTAATATCCTTTTAAAATTATGATATATATAAAAGCAAGTTTTTTTTTTTAAATATATATATATATGTATTTATAATTTTTTAAAGTTCCAAATGCACTTGAATACTCAAGCACAAGAAACACTTTTTATCTATAAGTTACGCGAATGTCAAAATTGCCGCCATTTTCAACCAATCGGTGATCATTGTACGATTTTTTTTTTTGGTATACTTTGATTTATTTGACTAATGTAGTAGAAATTACTACTTTTTTATTCAAATATTATTTTAAATAGAATTAAAATTATAAACAAATTTAACAACACTATAGATGGTGTCACAGACTATAGTTTTTTTTTGCTTTATTACGTTTTAAATAACACGTTGAACGCCACCCGTATTTCTAAGACAGTCCCGTTCAGGCCACGAGCGCCGCTAATACGCACTGGTATTATAGGGCCGGTGTTTCCGATCGCAGTACAAAATGGTTTACATTTTTAACGTTATACCTATTGGCTTTGTTTCAACACGTCTGTTTTGTTTTTCTTATCGCTTAACGCACTTAGATAAAATTAATTTTATAGTTCTCATGTAAACGGAAAATCTAGTGTCAGCCATCGATGGCTGACGTTGCGTTCAACGTGTTAAAAAATGTTTCCCGTTGGGCCGATCGCTATGACAATCGTCACATTTGGTATTTTATAGCCGATTGGGCGGATTTTGTTTTCATTTTAATAATATCAGATTAAAAACGTCAATCATTTTTTATTTATGTCGTCAAAAGACAAGTTTGGTGCACATTTTTATTTGATACGTGTTGCAATTATTTTGTTTTGATTTTATTATCGCATTTTATTTTATATTTGACAGTTTTTTTTACCATAGATTTTATTGACGTATAAAGTAGTCTTTATACCAAAATTATTTCTAATCAATTAATTTAATTATTATTTAGTTTTTTTTTTATGTAACTATAACTAAATAAGAGAATTCAGTAAGTCCAGTAATAGACAAGTTTAAGCTTGGTTAAAAATATAAACAAAAAATATGTTATTTACTCGTAATTACGTATTTTTTTTTGTTAGTAATGTTAAAGTAATATACCTAAATACGTTTTTTTTTTCGTTAATAATAATTATATTTCTTTTGACTTAAGCAATTTTCTTCTATTCCAGTGCAAAAAACGAAAAAAAAAATCAAAAACATTTTTTTTTTAATTTGTCATAGTTTTTTTTTTCTAATAAAAAATCTAATAGAATAAATAGCCCTATGAATACGAATTGTGATAAACATAGCGGCCTTAATATATCGAACATTTTCGGCTACTTTTGAAAATATATATCTTTGATATATTAACTTTATATTATAGACCACATATTAGCAATTTTGTTTGCGATTTAATATATTTTTTATGTCAAAAAACTTGCATAAAACGTGATCTTTCTTTGAAAAAAAATAAAAAAAAACATTTTTTAATCTGTGTATTTTGACAGTGCAATTTTAAGGTAAAAATCACACATTTTATGCTTTAAAAAAATTTAATGTTTGAACTATTTGCTTTGATATGTTTTAAAAAGCTTTAGTGAAAAAGGAATGGGATAAATAAAACAAAAAAAATGTATATTTCAAGCTTTTATAGTTAACGTAATTGTTTATATTAAATATTGTGCCTTTATCTATCGGCTGTAAGGATGAACCAGTGTTGCTATGCACAGACCAACGACAAAAACCGTCCATAGACGACAAATAAATTATAATCTATGAATTTATAAACACTTTGGAGGTTAACTTTTGACATTTTTTCGGAAATTTTCAATGGCTCTTATGTAAACTATCGTATGTTTGAAATAAAATGCATCAAAGAAATATAAAATAGACAACGAAAGTCTATAGTTCTTGTTTCTAACGTTATTTTCATATTTACTGTTATTATTATAGTATTTCTCGAGTTAATTTAAAGTTAAACAGTTAACTTGTAATCATGTCCTGTGTTGTCCCGTGATGTATGAATGTGTTACATTTACATATGTACATTTATCTTATGTTGTTACGGTGAAGGAAAACATCGTGATGCTGCACATATCTGACAAACTCAAACATATGTGTCAAGTCTTGCACTGGAACAGCATTCACTATCACATACTCTCACTTAGGGTAGACACACACTTAGAAGGGAATAGCTCAAACAAGGTGTATCGTAAAATTGACTTATGTCAGTCTACATAGGAGCCGTCGTTTTAATGAATTTTATACAGTACAAATGTTGGTCTGTATGTATTTATATATTTTATAGAAAAAATAAAGTGACTAGACTTTTCTTTCTCTTTTATTTATGTATACAGCTTTCTAATATTTATATTATCTTGAATATATCAAAGGAAGTTTATTTCGTATTTCTTTACATTAAAGTATTCAAAATCTTCTTTTATTTCAAATATTTTTATATGAAAAAAAAAATCTCGTCACTTTATTTTCGGCTAAATCGCGATGTTTTAATTTTTAAACGTCAAGTTGACACTTGTCACTTTGACAGCTGTCGATGTCACCCGAGTGTCGCGCGAGCACAGATTGTGAATAGTTTATAATTATGTAAGCACTTGATGTAATAAATATTATGACTGTTGATTTGTTTTGTTTTTAATTTTAACCTTTACACCGCCTCAACGTATTACAAGACTCGGCTTTATAGGCCATATAGAATTATTTGGTTACCAAAAAAAACAATAGTTACTTTTATGTGTGTACTTTTCGATTTAATTCCAATTAATTAACAATTTATAAAATTAATAACAAAAAAAAATGATCCCATATGCAATTTGATTTCCAAATCCCTTTTTAAACTCTACAACAAGGTTTAACTACATCATTGTGAGTCTCCTTCTTGCAACATCTCTTCTCTTTGGTCTCTTCTCTTCTCCCTTTGCCAGCTAGAGGGCGATTTTTTTCATCCCATACAACAACTCCGTCACACGCACAGATACGTTTGGGATTTTGGAACACCCCTGCTGATCGGGCGATTATACCGCACGCTACACTGTTAAATAAACATCCTATATTTAAACATGCATCTCGTAATATTTACTAACTACTGCACTTATATTGATTTACTTTTTGTCAAGTCCAAGAAAACATCGTGATGCTGCACATATCTGACAAACTCAAACATATGTGTCAAGTCATGCACTGGATCAGCATTCACTATCATATACTCTCACTTAGGGTACACTCTGAGACCTCCAGTGAGGACCTATAGTGACCTAACCACATTACTTTTAACAAAGAAGAATTGGCCTATTATCGTTATACTTTGAAGATTCGCTAAAAACCCCTTGAAATATATCACAATATTTTTTAGCAAGAAAAAATGTAATCGTAAAACTCACGGACTCCCGCTGTCACCATCTATCCTGGATTCAGGAGAGGATCCTCTGCCGAAGTCATCTTTACGTTCAGTCACAGCAACAGACCTGCCTATTATGTCCCAAACCTAAATTTACACAATCAAATATAACATTTATCGCTACTAATCGAAAAACCAGAAATCAATTTTTTTTTATTTAAAATCGAAATAAGCAAGTGACTATAAAACATTTTAGAATCACACTCTGACAACAAAAAAACAAAAATGTTTTTTTTTATCTAAAACAGATATGATTTTTTAGCTAAATAACACTAACCTTAAGAACATTATCTACTATCCTAAAAGTAGCGCGACCTGATTCATCCGCGCAAATGTTTCCCAAATCACCCGCGTGACGTTTGTGTACCGGATCGTTTGGTGCGCCGTGTGTGGCGCTCAAAGGGTTAAAATGCTCACCGATCGATTTGCAACCCTATTAACAAGCACTTAGAGTTTATTATTGAAAATTACACATAACTTGATTGTAAAAAAATACGTCAGATTCGATTAATGAAGTAACAGACCGAGCCGAAGCTCCTGAGGGAGACCTCGAGTCTTGTTACTCTTAAACGAGGTTCAGGCTAAGCGCCATCTGCGCTCGGCCACCTCAAGCCCGGTGAAGCTGTAAATGCCTCTTCAAGGCAAAGAGTGACTACTCAGTCACAAAAGCGTCAATAGCATAATGGTTAAGGGTACGGATTTCCGATCACGAGGTCGGGGTTCGAATCCCTCCATTAGACTATTATCGTAAACCATATCCTAGCACAAGCTTAGAGGTTAGTTGGAATGGTTAAAGAAATATTATTAAATTTACAAAAAAATCTGCAGAATTTTATTTCTAATGTCCACAGTATGTGTTGTAGCATTGTAGTACGTTATGACACTCTTTGGAAGAAGACGAATCGAATGACACCTCACTCATCAAAATCTGTTCAGTTTAAACCCTAGGCCGGTACAAAAGAAATTTACATACATACAAACTCACACACAAAGAATAAACTAACATACGCAAAAAAAAATGAAAAATAATTTCTCTACACTTCGATTTAAAAAAAAAGTAAATTTTTTTTTTTTACATATTTGAAACTAGCTGTCGCCCGCCACTTCGTTTGTACCGAATTATAACGATATAATTAATAGCCTATATGTTCTTCCAGACTATGTTCTACATCTATGTCAAATTTCAAGATCCGTTCATTCGTTCCGGAGATACCTTCTAACAAACATCACAACATTCGCATTTATAATATTAGTAAAATAAAAAAAAACCTTGTGAACTTACCTGACTTAAATCCCCCACTTCATGGACATGCAAGCCATGACACCCCGGTGTCAGTCCATCTATACATCCATCCGCAATCAAAGAACCTTCCGGAGTCTGTTGGAACCTGACCACTCCTAGTACATTGGTACCACAGCATGACTGACTGGATATCATGGATACTGCTGATTGGGTATCTGCAATACCATATTAAGCAGTTGACTTGCAATCAGCATGTCCTGTGTTGTAATCTCGTGATGTATGAATGTGTTACATTTACATATGTACATTTATCCTATGTTGTTACGGTGAAAGAAAACATCATGATGCTGCACATATCTGACAAACTCAAACATATGTGTCAAGTCTTGTACTGGACTGGCATTCACTATCATATACTCTCACTTAGGGCTGATGATGAATTTTAACTTTGTGGAAAAAGTATTGAGCCATGTGCCAATATTCAACTATTATAAACTACATTTTACAAGACTACAGATTAGTTGGAATAGGACAAATAAAAGTAACTAAAAAAAGGTCAGATTCTCATAGGGTCAAAAGACCAAACTTTATAAGGTCAAAAGACCTAACTTCATAGGGTCAAAAGACCTAACTTCATTGGGTCAAAAGACCTAATAGTTGTGTACACAGGCGTCAGTAACACTTAGCATGTTTAGTAAACTCTGATAAAAATAACTATTTATATTTTACCTCCGAATCCTTGTAAAACTGCTCTTTTTCCTGATGTTTGTGTCACTATATTTAATATTTGTGTACTTGGTAATGTTGTTTCTACCATTATAGCACCATCTTTGAATACTGCCTGGAAAGAAATTAAACATGACTTCATCTTACTAATATTATAAACTTGCTATCGCTCGATAATCCATTGCCGCTGGATAAAAAAATCATAAGTAGCCTATGTGTTCTTCTAGGCTATGTCAAATTTGAACAAGATGCGTTTAGCCGTTCTAGAGATACCTTTTAACCAACAACCATCTAAACATTCACATTTATAATATTAGTAAGATGTGTATGGATAGATAGATATTTGTTAGAAGGTATCTCCAGAACGGCTGCATGGATCATGCTAAAATTTGGTATACATGTCGAACATAGTCTAGAACACATAGGCTACTAATTAAGTTGTTTTTTAATTCTGCATAGACTGATTTGTGTGCGGTAGTTAGTAGTCATTAAATTTATGTGAAAAAATATGTAAAATATTAAATTAACCACAACCAAACAATTTTAAATTTTTAATTATTGATTTCAAAATTGTGAAATTACTAAATTAAACTCACCTCTTGTATACCGTCTTGTGATTTTAACATATTCAATGTTTTATCAAGTACATTTTGATCCAATTTTGGACCAAAATCAACTAAAACTTCAAGCTGTAAAGAAAATTTTGCTATGAGAAAATATAATTATATATATCAGTAGGGGAAGACAATAGAAAACATCGTGATGCTGCACATATCTGACAAACTCAAACATATGTATCAAGTCACCCACTGGGTCATCATTCACTATCACATACTCTCACTTAGGGTAGCCTCCGAGGCACTCAGTGGGGATGTATAGTGAGCTGATTATGATAGTAGTGGAGGTCAAGGGGGGATTTTTTTCAGTTAGTTTCCTGATTGAATAGGCTAAAAGCATGTCTTGTGGTAAGAGTACTTGAATGGGTACAAGATTCTTCCGTTATATTGAAATGCCAAGCTTGAGTAAATACAAAAATGTCCGGTACACTCCCTTACTTTAAAAAGCAAATCACTGTACTAAGAATTATTAATTTTGAAATAAAAATTGTTTTGTGTGTTAAAAAACAGATTTTTCTTATCATAACTGAACTGATATATAAACACGGCTAAACACTCACGTATATACGTCCGGTGACGGCACCAACTAGTTTCGAGCCCATCGGGGGCCCTTCATCAGGATGAGTGGTACTGGTATTATTTCGCGGACGTGGCCCGTCGCTCACTCACAGACGGACGTATATACGTGAGTGTTTGGCCGTGTTTATATATCAGTTTAGTATAATGTCTCACAAAAGTTTGAATAATTAATTCATAACTGAAGTTTATATTGAAGCGATAATTATAACCAAAGGTACTTTAACGTTGGAATTATAATACATTATTTATAAGAGTTAAAATCAGCTTTGTCATGATTATGAATTATAATTGCGAAGTTTTAAAAATCTCGAACCTTACCTTGGATGCTAACATGATGTGAATACTAATAAATAAACACAAGTTCACTGAACACAAACTTCTATAACTTTTCGATACCTTTCTAGAATATTTATCTTGTTTTCAAAATAAATATTGAGCGATTTTTTTATTTTAAATTTATAACTTGATTAACAATGTTTGACAATGACATTGACAGTGACATTGGTTTTTACAGGCAAAAGTTTATTGATTTTACAGCCCTAGATCCAAATGCCTTTAATTTTGTAAAATCCAATTTTTTTTATTATTTATTTTATCATAATATGCATTGTCACGCGATATACACATATATGCTATGTTTCAGCTCAATCCGTTACTGGAAATTGGTTTAATTAGCAATATTGAAAAGCAATAGGTTATGTGAAACTACTTTACTTTAATTTCAAACGTGAATATTTAAAAATAAAACACATTGTCAAGAAATAACAATATTTAATAGTTAAAATGTAGGATGGTCAATAATTCTATACAAATGACAAAAATAAAGAAATAACTCTATAAACATTTAAAAGGTCGATTTATATTCTACACTGGATTCCGGCGGACAAGGCGATAATGAACGACATCTCTGTAAAAAAACAAAAAGAAAACATATTTGTTATTTTTACCTTTAATAAGTGGATAAAAAAATTGCTAGAATATACTACAAGAATGGCTGACTAGAGTTTTGTTTTTTTCATCGAATTTGCGAGTCAAACAATGGCCATCTTTTTATGACGTTAACTTTTTTCTGATGCTGATTTTTACCGCCATAAAAGCAACATTTGATTTATAGATTCACTTTTGTATTTCATTTTAATGATTTTAAGTTGATTGTTGATTTCTATGATGTTAAGCCTTTAGTTACCTCTCTATAATCAGCCTCGGCAATAACCGTGCGAAGTAATTCAACAGGCTTTTGCGCTGTTTGCTCCGTGTTGTGTATCATTTTGTAAACCTCCGAATTCTGCAGGTGGTCGAGGGGTATAGGAGGTTTTTCGTACTTCATAAAGTTTATCCTGACATAATTGTTAATAACATAAATAATAATAAAGAAAATAAATGAGAAAACAGTATAAATAACCTTTTTACAGATGTCATAAAATACTTATAATCTGTACTTAAAATATTCTTTTATATATAATATTCAGCCAGTGTGACATACATAAACAGCCAGTGCAGTTAGTAATGCGAAAAACAAATAAACAACACCTTACTTCAATTAATTTATTATAAGTTGGGATGACCTTTTCTTGGACATTATGAAAATCCACAAGATGGCAGTTCGATTCTCTGTAAAATTAATCGTGTTATTCTAAATAAAATGTCTGAAAATAACAAATAACGGTTCTACTGACGTAAAATTCATAAAAAAAGATTATATTAGTAACAACTACATACCTAAATTTCTTACAAACAGACGGACCGGGCCAAATCTTGTCCCATTGTTCAGCCTTGGGGGCAAACATGCAAAATAGAATATTATTTTGTATCAGTTACTACAAAATTAGTCAAAGACAATACAAACTTCATTTTTAACCCGTTGACAGCTGTCAAACACGCGCCAAAATTGTGCAATGAAAATAACTCTTCGTGTTTATTACTTTAAAACATTTTTTATTTGTCTATAGTTGTCGTTGACAGCATTTTTGGCGGGAATTTGCTCGTCAAAGATTAATTGAACATTAAAGTCTTGTTATAACCTATAACTAATGCATCTAAATAAAAGAATACCCCATAGTTTTCCCTTGAATTAATTCAGAATTTGCTAGAATTGTCTCTGCTATTTGTTCTTCAGTGTATTCTTCACCAGGTCGCCTCCATCGTCTACCACCAAAGAGTTTTATAGGTCGTGGTTCAGGTTTCATCCATCCAAACTTTTGTTGTGGTCTATTAATATATGCCATTGGTTTTTGCATTTGTTGTTCAAAAGGCTGGCAATTATATCATTGTAGAATAAATATTGATTCCTTATTAACTATTATAAGAAATATTAACTAAAAACGTATAATTTTAAACTTGTTCCAGCTAGTAATTTACATTTATTATATTAATTTAAACCATTTATAATAAATACCTTTTTATCTTTGACCAATAATTCTCCTTTTGTCTCCGCCATTTTCACAACCTTTGCCTCTTTTGTTTCTTCTTTTATAATCTGTGGTTCTTCCTTCTTATTGACTTCAACGGCCTTTGTCACTTTTGGCTCTAAAAAAAAGGAATTTTTAGTACACGAATAAAAAATATATTTAAACTTTCTACTTCCAAGTAATATTAACGATATATTAATTTTATGAGTGTCATAGACAATAAAATTACTAAAAAAAAAAACTGTATAAAAATTTACCTAATACTTTTTGGTATTTGACTTCCTTTGTATGTAATGTTTCTTCTTTTTTCTGTAAAATATATAAAAAAATAAAAATTATTTAACACCGTTAGTAATGACGTTTGTATAGTTATAACTAAACTAAAATGGATGAGTTGTAGATCAATGAACCGATTCTAAGCACAATTTAATTTAAACTTGATAGAATTATGATTTGCATTTCGAGGTACGAGTCACGAAGTCCGTGAGTAGACTAGTCGCTCGACTCATCAGCTGGCTCACGGCTCACTCGATCACTGATCGAGTTGATTCCCGAGTTACCAATTTAGCTGTTGAATCACAGCTCAATTGTTCTATGACCTGAACTTTTGAGCTGGTTCATTGCTGATTTACGCGTCTAATTTGCTTTAGTTAACTAATTGAATAGGCCCACGATTCTGCTATTTCGTTTGATGGTTAAAATCTGTATTATTCGTAGCTTTTTGTTTTTAAATGTACCTTTTTGTTCTTTAAATCTTCAGTATTTCGTGAGAAGCGTTTGGAAAATACAATCCAGCAAACAAGCAACAACAAGGTCACACGAAACAATATATATTCGACGAACACTGCAAAAAAGCTAAATTCAAACGTATGTCGGACACAACGTAATAACAGTTTGTTGTCTATTGTCAAATTATGCGAAACTTTAAAATCTAACTGAAATCACAAATGTATACATATCTCTGTTTTATCATAGAGAAAGAAAGAGATGGCATTATACAAATGTCACTTGTGGGAAAGTTAGGTTAGTTTTAAATTCAAACAATATTTAAAATGATTAAAACTTACTTGAAGCTAATAAACAACTATTGCTGACATAGTACGAAATAAAACTGCAATAATTATCAATTGCTAAAAAGCTTGCCAAAAACGTCGAGTTGCAATTTTGTCACATTGCCAAGGTCTAATTCGTTGCTAATTATAGTCGAGTTCAATGTAATCGAATAAGACAAAAATAATCGATAATTATTCGCTTTTAATACAAGAAAAATCTCAAATAATTTACAAATAACAGAATCGAGGGCCTTGGAATTATATAACCTAATTTCTGTATCTAATTATATTTATATGTTCATGATTTTTTTTTAATAAGTTTTTTAATTTTAGTCAAAAGTAAATCAGAATAAGACGTAAAACAATTTTTAAAAAAAATAATTAGATGAAATAAATTGTTGTTATTATCTGATTTCCGGTGTAACGATAAATTTAAAGATAATAAAAACAGATAATACATACAGTATGATTGGAAATTCTTTATAATAAATTACATAAATGTTTTAATTTAACTTTTTTTTTGGAGCGTCGGTGGCTCAGTGGTCAAGCACTTGACTTGCAATCTGCAGGTCCTGGGTTCGAATCCCGCCATTTACCAATGTGTTTTTCGATTTCCGATTTACATATGTACATTTATCCGACGTTCTTACGGTGAAGGAAAACATCGTGATGCAACCTGCACATATCTGAGAAGTAATTCAAAGATATGTGTGAAGTCAACCTGCACTTGGTCAGCCTGGTTGACTATGGCCTAATCACCCTTAACTTAGGGTAGGCTCCGAGCCTCTCAGTGGGGACGTATAGTGAGCTGATGATGAACTTTTTTTTTAACTCTTAGACTTGCTTTGTCTAAGACCTACATTAAATTTAATTTTGAAACACTCTATATTCTAACCTGATTTATTAGATGCAATTTTTCCATTACATTTTCCAATGTTTCTTTAATATCATCTGGTACTGGTTCTAACTTTTCTAGTTGATCTCTCATCTGGCTTAATTGATCCGCAACTGGGATGCTGGAAGCTGTTATGAGAGAATGTACTTTTACTAATATATTTCGATTTAAACTGATATATAAACACGGCTAAACACTCACGTATATTCGTCCGGTGGCGGCACCGACTAGTTTCGCTCACTCAGTGAGCGATGGGCTGCGTCCGCGAAATAATACCAGTACCACTCATCCTGATGAAGGGCCCCCGATGGGCTCGAAACTAGTCGGTGCCGCCACCGGACGTATATACGTGAGTGTTTAGCCGTGTTTATATATCAGTTTAGTATAACGTCTCACGAAAGTTTGAATAATTTAATATTTCGATTTAATTCACACCAAATACAATGCAAACAACATTATATTAAACTAGTTGTCGACCATTACTCCGTTCGTGCGAAATTAAAAAAAAACTTATAAGTAGTCTGTGTTCTTCCAGACTATGTTCTACATCTATGGCTTTAAGCGAGATCCATGCAGCTGTTCTGGAGATATCTTCTAACATCCATCTAAACATTCGCAATCATTAATTATTAGTAAGAGCTATTCTTATATTTACAATATCAAATTACTTAAACACACAAAATACTTAAAAAAAAGTTAAATATCGTAATTTGATAATTCTCTAAATAAACTTCGACATTGAAGTAAAAAGAGGGAATGTTAACTAATTTATTTTCTTTCTCCTTTTATTACGCTACTAGCTGTCGTCCGCGACTTCCTCCGCGTGCGTATATACACAACTTAATTAATGTAGCGCACCCATCTAAACATTCGCATTTATAATATTAGTAAGTTAAATAAAAAGCAGCTCTTCAAGATATAAATTAGAAATTAAATGAATAAATAGTATCCTATGTCCGTCCCCTGGCTCTAAGCTACCTCCTCAACAATTTTCAGTCATATCGGTAAAGTCGTTCTTGAGTTATAAATAGTGTAACTAACACCACTTTCTTTTATATATATTAATTTGATAATTACGTAAACTTACCTATAATATTTTTAATATTATTCAAAAAAAACTCTATCGATCTATTTTCTCCTTCACCAATATTTAAACTTTCAACTCTCATTAAAGCTTCTTGTATTATTTCATGTACAGTGTGTTCCGTTTTTCCATCATCTTTAAGTTTATTTATCTCATTATTTAGATTTGGTAGAGGAATAACTGAAAAGTTAAAATGTTCTTAATTAATTAATTAATTAATTCACGTTACTTAATTTTATTTAAATCTGGATGACGGAGCTTCGCTCGGTATTTTTTTTTTAAATTGTGTTTTTTAGAAAATATATTTAAGTACGAATTACTAATAAAATGATGAAATATGAATAATATTTTTCGATCTTACCGATAGAAAAAGTTAAGTTTATGTTTAAGTTGATTATAGATAAAACACGAATAAAATGACATTTTCCTAAAAATGATTCCTAGCTAGATCGATTTATCGCCCCCGAAACCCCCTATATATACAAGAATTGCTCATTTAAAGATATAAGATAACAGAAGGGGGCAAACGAGCAGCGGGAACACCGATGTTTTCAACGACGACGGACATCAGCAATATCAGAAGAACCGCAGAGTTATTAAGTGGAATATAGCTTTATAAGATAACTAGATGTGTAAAAAAAGACTAGTCTATGTGTTCTTCCAGATTGTTTTCTACATCTATGACATTTCAGCGAGATCTAATGCAGCCGTTCCGGAGATATATTTAACCCTTATTATGCCAAGATTTTGAAGAAAACAAAAAAACACAATAAACAAAATTAAAAAAAAACTAAGTAAAAAATTATTTTATAGCGATCGTATATTTTTATAAAGTTGTATGTATACTATACAAAATGAACATAAGGTTTAAACAGACATCCATCCATCTTAACATTCGGATTTATAATATTAGTAAGATTTAAAGTTAAAAGTAACTAATAACATTTGATCTAGAAATGTGTATTTGTTTCGGGATCAAATCTAGATTGTTATTCCTGTTAAAAACATCCAGATACATTCAATCTTGAGTTAATTAAAACAAGTTTACTAATTTCCATTTTTAATAAGATTTACTTAAATTATTCAAACTTTCGTGAGACATTATACTAAACTGATATATAAACACGACTAAACACTCACGTATATTCGTCCGTTACTCAGTGAGCGACGGGCCGCGTCCGCGAAATAATACCAGTACCACTCATCCTGATGAAGAGCCCCCGATGTGCTCGAAACTAGTCGGTGCCGCCACCGGACGAATATACGTCAGTGTTTAGCCGTGTTTATATATCAGTTTAAGATTTACTTACCTGTAGATTTCAAAACACCGTCATCCTTAGATTCTGTAGGTATAGCCAGAAAGAATTGTGGTCCATCTCCTGGTGTTAATTCTTTTATATATGTTGCATCTATTGTACCGGCAAATGCTCTCTCTTGCCAAGGAACAGGGCTCGAGTTGAAATCCTTAAGAAGAGAAGAAAATTACAAAACAAAATTGAAATGACGACAGCATAGACGTAATATCAAAAATTACATCTCAAGAAGCTCTCGCTAAACAGTTGAATTAAGGGCTCGATACAAAAGGCAGTTATCTTAGAAACCGCACGCATCGTGAGAAGGTTCCTGTCTCTGCAGCCCTGACCACTGGTTGTTTGAGTCATGGGACTCCGCAGCCGGTGGTGTTCTGTTTTTTTAATATAATATATTTTTTATATTATTTATAATATTTTATACATGAAATGTAATATGTTAAGAATAAGATTAATAAATGAATAAGTCAAAAATTACTTTTATTTAAAACTAGCTGTCGCCCGCGACTCCGTCCGTGTGGATATATAAAATTCTTAATTAGTGTAGCCTATGTGTTCTTTCAGACAATGTTCTATACGTATGCCAAATTTAATCGAGATCCGTTCAGCCGTTCTGGAGATATCTTCAAACATCCATCCATCCACATCACATCCATCTAAACATTCGCATTTATAATATTAGTAAGTTAAATAAAAAGCAGCTCTTCAAGGCATAATAAATAGTATCCTATGTCCGTCTCCTGGCTCTAAGCTACCTCCTCAACAATTTTCAGTAAAGCTGTTCTTGAGTTATAAATAGTGTAACTAACACGACTTTCTTATATATATAGAAATATTTAGATGTATGTTTGTTAGAAGGTATCTCTAGAACGGCTGTATAGATCTTGCTGAAATTTAACATAGATGTAGAACGTAGTCTGGAAGAACACATAGACTACTAATTAAGTTTTTTTTTTGTTCCGTACGTCCTGCGACGGTTGTCTGATAAAATTGATATAATGTTTCTTCACATGAACTTTACCTGTTTTTCAAATTTATTCTGTAAATCCTTAAAATGTTCTAATTTTTGTGTTTGTAAATTACTCGATTTCTGTAAGAATGTCGTCCATGATTTATCATCGTCTTTTATCTTTACATCTGGTAAATTTTTATTCTCGAATTTATCCTTCATCTTTTGACAATCTGGACTTAGTCCTTCGCGAAGCATATGTGAAGACAAAACTCTAGTTAGACTGAAACAAGAGTTTAGTTAGGACTGTTCCGTACTACGGCACCACCGGCGGGGAAGCAGCGCGGGGGTCCCTTCCAGAACTCACCCGCCGCCCCGCGCTCTCACACTGCGACCTTCAGTTGCGCTTCAACACTCCGCGCGCCGACACATCAATCATATTTGTCTATTTTGTACATCTTTCATTCTTATTACAATCATCAGCAACCTACCAGCCTTTCATTCCAACATACAGTCCACTCGCTCAACAAGGACGTCAATAGCCTAATGGTTAAGGGTACGAGTTTCCGACAACGAAGTTCGAATCGCGATCGACTTTTTTTGTTAATTTACTTTTTCTTGTACCATTTCAACTAAGTTCTATGCATGTGCTATGATATGGTTTACGACAATAGTCGAATGACGGGATTCGAACGAAATCCGTACCCTTAATCATTAGGCTATTGACGCTTTTTTACCTTATAATATGGGCTTCTTTGATTGTATCTGCTTCACTAGGACTTGTCTCTACAGGACTTATCTCTTCAGATATCTTTCTATCTGCATTTAATCCTGTAACTCCTGTTATTATTAGGAAAGCGTTTTAGTATTAGAAGAACTTTCAAATTCAATGTTTATTCTAACAAAATAAAATGGCGACGTAAGACTTATATTACGAGATTCTACTATTTTTTAAAGAGTGCAGTAGGAACAACGAGGTGTACTACTACGCCCATAGATATTTGCAAGACCAGAGGTACCGAAAATACGTAGCCGACCTTTGAGAAGATAAGTTAGAAATGATAGAATAGAGAACTTTTTAACTTACTCGCAACTTCATCGTCAACTGCTTTTTGTTCTTCATCAGATGTTACATCTAATTTGTCTTCATTTTGTTCTATTTCCTAAAAAAATAAGTAATAAATGATTAAAATTTATTATTATGCAAACAACAAGAATGATATGCGATAATGTCATGGTCGCAGAAATATATTAAAAGATGGCAAACCTTAATAATCTATACGCTACGTTTAAACGCGCTAATCTTACGAACTACTGGTCCGATTTGAAAAGTTCTTTTTTTGTTGGATAGTCCATTTATAGAGGAAGGCTTTAGGCTATATAACATTACGATGCGATCAATAGTTTTTTTTTTAAATTCCGCGCGGATTAAGTCACGTGCCACAGTAAGTGTTTTTAGAAATACCTGGGTTATGGAACTAATAGACTATGAAATACTATAGTAATCATTTCTTAGGTTAGAAATAGTGGTATAAGGGAAAATTGTGAATAGGAAAAAAGTATATACTTAAATGGTTTGGACACGTTAAAAGGAAATTAATGGCGCAAGAGTGCGTTGTATTGTTAGTAGGGGCCGTCTTGGACTTATATATGTATAAACGTCCAGATTAATCAAATATTCAAGAAGGGTGATAGAGCATCCGAAACCGATGTGCTTGCGTGCATAAATGTAGAAGTTCTTAACAAAGCAAAGTCTCTAGCTAGAGAGTTGCGTCTGGACTGTGAAAATTAAGCGTCAATAGCCTAATGGTTAAGGATACGGATTTCCGATCACGAGGTCGAGGGTTCGAATCCCTCTATACGACTATTGTCGTAAACCATATCCTAGCACAAGCATTGCTTAGTTGGAATGGTAAAAGTAATATTAGTAAATTTACAAAAAAATCTGCTAATATTTAAAAAAGAAATGGTGGTCCGTCTCTGCCCACCTTTCTGGAGTGGTTGAAAGTTATTTTGTTGTTCTTACCTCATCTATTTTTATTTTAATCATGGCTTTAGGTTGTTCAGATTCTAAATCTTCTTTAATTATGTTAAATTCCTTTTCAATAGACTCCTCGCCAGCTGTGTCTGGTGCCAATTCTACTATGCCAGTGTTTTCATATTCTTTTTCAATCTCTTCGAAAGTTGTTACCTCTTTGATATCGTAACCTTTGATTCTTACTTCTTCAATTTTATTTGCAAAATCATGTTTTATATCTACGTTAATAGTTTTGTTATTATTTAAATTGATTTCGCCAGAATTATTCGTTTCGGAATTTTGTTGTGTAGTTGATTTTATGGGTTGTTCGTGGATAGGTTTTTCTGTTTTAGTCTGTTCTAAAGTTACCTTTTCATTGGCATCTTTTGTGCCTGCAATTTCTTCTGGTTGAAGTTCGTTGATAGATTTTTCTATTGTAGTCTGTTGTGATGTTTCCTTCTCTTCAGCGTCCTTTGTGTCTTCAACTTCTTCGGGTTTTGTCTGTTTGTCCGTTTCATCTTCCATTATTATAGAACTTTCACCTTCAGCTTTTTGTTGTTTTAATGTTTCAACAATTTTTTTATATTTCTCTATGTTCTTTAAAGTTTCGTTTATATCTGAAGTGAGATTTGATAAATTTTTTCGTACTTCTATTATTTCCTCCTGAAAAATATATATTAATAAGTTTAATGTAATTTAGAAGCTGTGTGCTTCTTTTTATTTTGTGTTAAAACTCCTTGAATATACAAACAACAAATCATAGTGGACTTTGTTGGTTAATATTTGAATACTTATGTACTGTGAAAATAATTTATGAGCAAATGTATTTCACTTTATTTTAGAAGAATTTCTTTTCTTAAAACAATTATTTGTGAATGTTGAAATCGTGATTGAAAGCAACCATTTAAACCATGTGTTGACACAGTTTTAGTACATTGCCAATATCTATATAAAACAGTGGTAGAGTCCGCTTTAACATCTTCGCACGAATTGTCCCGGCTCGCCCGGTGAAATACCACGACCACACAGAAGACAGGAGTCAAGTGGAAGCAATTCCAACTACAGTCTGATGAGTGTGCGTCCCGGAGGCCTAATTTAGTCCTCTTTCCCTTCCCACCCTTTTTCTTTTAAGCAAAGTATGGGAAGTGAAAGTCCACTTTCCGGATGAGAGGATGCATGGAACGGGAAGATATTTTACTTTCTGTGCATCCTCTCCTCCGTCGATTAAAGGTAGGCAATGCATATGCAATTGCGTATGTCTATGGGCAACGGTCACTTTTTTCAGCGATTTCAGGTGGATGCTCTCTAATGCCACGTTATGATAAAAAAAATGTTTGAAAATGACATCGACACATTTATAAGGTAGAAATCATACCTTAGGTATTGGAGGTCTGTCAGATCCACCTCTTAAGCCTGGTTTAAAATATCTTGGCAGTCGTTTCATACCACCATTTAAACCTGGTTTAGTGTAAGCGGGTACAGGGCTTGTAGGTGGGGTAGGCAGAGGTGGATTGTAAACTACCCTTTCAATTTTCACTGACTCTATGTTTGGTACAAGATTTTTGACTGTATTTTCATCTCTGTTTATTACAGGACTTGGTTCAGGAACTGGTGTAGTTCCTCTGCTTTTAGGTAATGGTGCTACAAGTCTAAATATGTATTCGTCTGTTAACGGTGTCGGTGGTGTAGTGGGAGATTCATCAGTTGAGCTTTTGTTAATTTCTGCATTTTGTGACGCTACAATTTCATCTCGTTTGATATTTGTTTTGAGAGATGTTAATTTTGATTTGTTTTTGATAGTAGAATCATATTCTTGGATATTCAATGATGTATTTTCTTGTGTAGTTAAACTTGCTTTTAGTGATGTTTCAAAACTACCTTCGATTGTTTCTATTTGATATTTAGCAGCTTTTATATCTAAATTCGTGTTACTGATGTCAGTAATTTCTTGATGTGCCTCTTTCTTACGTTCTATATTAAGTGATTGGGCATTTGTTTTTGATATTCTCTTACCAACACTCTTTTTACTAATAACATCTTCACGTAGACTTTGAGATTCAAAGTCCGATGTTTGTGAAATAATTTCAGTATCACCAGCATATTCTTTTCTTGAATATCCACTTGTCATGTTGATATTTAAGTTGCCTTCATCATAATTTTCAATATCTTCATCAAAATCTTCTTTTCTAAATATAGTTAGTGCTGCAGACTCTTGATTTGAATCATATCCTTTACTCCTTCGCTTCACCAATATTGATGACTCATAAACATCTTGGGAAGCATCTTGTATTTGTGATTTTAAATTAAATCCAAGGGATACATCCATTGCTTCATTTCTATTCTCCATATTGATGCTATTTTCGATTTCTTCATCAGAAGTAGTAATTTCATGTATCACAACACCAGATTCGTCTTGATTTAAATTGAGATTAAAGTCTTGTTCAAACTCTTCTGTATGGTACTTTAAATCTTTCTCTCTTCTTACATATAAAGTCTCTTCTTTTGTTTCGAATACTGGTTCAACTAAAACTTGAGGTTTTGTCACTGTTAAGTCATAAGACATTTCTTGGTAAGTTTCATTATGTTTTGCTTTAGCTTTTCCAATAGAGATGTTTACATTTGACTCATTATTAATACATTCTTTGGCTTGTAATAAAATTGAAGTATTGAGTTCATTATTATTTTTAATAATAGGTTCTGCTTCAACACTTTTTAAATCAGTATGACTTATCGTTCCCGAAGCTTCTTCGGTATTAATAATATTTGATTGAATATTATATTCTTGATGAACAGCATTAGAAACTTTTTGTTTAATATTTTTTCGACCAATAGTTACGGTTTCTTTTGTCATCAAATGTATTGGTTCTTCAGTAATTGTAACTTGTTCATTTTTAATGTCACCTTCCTTTAATTCTTCAATATGTAATGATTCAAAGTCATCAGAATTCTCTTCAAGTGTTGTTTGTTTTATATTTAATGTATTAACTTCATCCTCTGTCATAGTAAAAGCTTTTGTCATCTTTTTCTTACGCTTATTGATTATTTTATTAAAATTATCTTCATTTGAAACACTCACTTCTTGCATTGATACATTATTCTTTTGTTTTGGTTTGATTTTAACGCCGGATGATTCTATTTGTTTTTCTATAGTGTTACTAACATTATGACTAGCATTAAGTTCTTCCAACTCGTAATTTAAAGACATTGTTGCCACTTCGTTTACAGATATTTCATCTTGTTTGAGAATATTTTGGCATATCACTTGAGCTGTTTCAAGGTTTTTTATTTCTAAAGATACTGATACTGTCTCTTTTTCAAATGTTTCAGATTTAAATAATTTTAGTTCAAAAACAGGTATATTTAAAATTAATACAGTTGCTGTACATTTTGGTAATGTTTTGGAGAATATCTTTGGTTCTAAATATTCTGAAGCTTTATATTCTAGAATCTTGTCTACTTTAAATGAATTAACCTCATCTAATGTTGTTATTTTTGTTTCAACAATGGCCGTACAAATAGCAAATATTGTAACAAAATCTACTTCTAAAGTAGAGTTTGCGTTTTCTATAGGCAATTGTTTAATTTCTAAAACTTCAGCGTTGTTATAAGATAAATTAATATGTTCTAAAATTGAAACGCATATTGGTAGAGTTGTTTTTAATACACATGGTTCTTCTATTATACTACCTAATTCTTCTTTTATTCCTTCCACATTAAATGGAATACATTCTTCTAAATCTTTATAAATTTCTCCAATCGCAGCAGTACATATTGCTAATATCATTGTCAGTTTACTAACTTCTATTAATATCTTAGCTTCTTCTTTTACCAATTCTTCTATATCTAAATTAATTGCTTCATGTAATTCTTTGTTAATTTCACTAAGACTCGATGTAGATATTGGTAGAGTTCTTTCTAAAACAAAAGGTTCTGTTGACGTTGAAGGGAATTCTTCTTTCAATTTGTGATTTTCTTGTTGTAATAATTCAGTTTCAAAGTATATTATAATAATATCGCTTAAAATCGAAATACAGATTGAGAGAGCTGTTGAAAATATATCCGGTTCTAAACTAGTAGAAGGCATTTCTTCTTCAAACTTGTTTATAATCAATTCATTTGTTACTTCTAAAAGTATATCGATATCTTGATTTATTTCTTTACAGATTGCTAAAGTTTTAAAATAGTTATTCTTCTCTTCTGATAAATCTGTTTTCTCTTCTGGAAATCTTTCATCAGGTAAGGATTCCACTTCAACATAAATTGTAGTTATCTCGCTTGAAATTGAGGTACAAATTGCTAGAGCAAATGTAAATATTTCTGTTTCAATTTGTGTTGAAGGAATTTCTTCTTTATATTTATCAATGATAACACCCTTTATATCTTCTTGAAATACATCAATTGTTTCAATAATTTCCTTACATGTTATTAAAGCTTTAGAATAATTATTCTCTTCTTCTGATACTTCTGCTTTTTCTTCTTTTAAATCTTTATCTATATTGGTAATCTCAAATTTGTCAATTGATATATTTATTTCTTGATATAGTTCCGTATTTATACTTTGTGCTTTGTTAAATATTTTGATTTCTATTCCTTCTGTTGCTTTTTCTTCTATAATAGTAGGTGTTTTAAAATCATCTACTTCGTAAATATTTATTATTAAATCATTGACTACAGATGTACAATATGCTTGAATTGATTTGAACTCTTCTTCCAAACTTGAAATAGCGACTTCTTGATCTTTTCTGTCGATTGATAATTGTTCGATTTCTTCTAAATTTATTTTTATATCTTGTATTATAGCATAACAAATGGAATATAGTTTTATTATCTCTTCTGTCACTTCTAAACATTGTTGTAAATCTTTAGTTTCAGCTTCAAAGTATTCAGATTCTTCAAGTTTAATATCAATGTTTGAAGCAATGCCACAACTAATTGGTTGTATTATTTTTAGTTCATGATTTTCGGTAGAAGATGAAAGAAATTCTTTGTTACTTTCGATATTAAAAGACTGGTTTTGTATTTCATCGTAAACTTCACTTGTTTGTCTAGCCGTTGCTACAGCAACGGTTTGAGCGATGTCTAGTTCATTTGCTTCTGTCTTTGTTATTGCAATTTCTTTTTGAACTTCAACATCTTTAATCACCGCTGTATTAGTTTCTGTAGTTAATTCACATACACTAAGACTTGTGGGTAAAGCTGATTCAAAATGACTTTCTTCTGTACTACTTAATGTTGATACCACAGATTGTATTTCAATTTGAGGCATTAAAATAGGTTCTTCATAAACATAAGTCTCATTTACCATTTTACTTGCAATTAGATTATCTTTTTCTGTAGTTAAAAGTAATTTGTCTTCTAACAAATTGTAAGCCTCTTCATCTTTGATATCTACTTCGTTGTAAACCTCATTTGTTTGTTTTATATATTCTTTATTTAAAATTTGTGCTTTGCTAAGTTTTTCTTCTTCTATTGTGATTTTTGGTGTTTGTTCTTTTAATTCTGTCACTGGCAATATACTAGCTTCTGTAAAATGAGAAACTGCCTCGTCAACTTCGCTAATAATCTCTTTCTTAACCTCTTTAATAATAGGTAAGACCTCTTTAGTAATTAATTTATTTTCTTCTTCTGATTCATGCAGAGCAGTTTGTACATCTTCTATTGTTTCTACTCCTCTGGCTTGTAATTTATTTAGTTCTTTTTCCTCTATTTTAACTATAGGTAAATCTTCTTTAAGTTCAGTTATTTCTACAGATTGCTTTTCGACTTTATTACATAGTTCATTTATTTGATGAGCTGTTGCTTCATGTATATTTGTTGTTGATTCCACTTCCTCTATTATTGGCGTAGGTGTAATTACTTCGTTCAAATTTTTAGTTTCGTTCACTTCTGTTACTTGTTCTGTTGTCTTTTTCAGTGCTAGTTTATTTATTTCTACATATTTCTCATCTTTTTCTATATTTATTGATTTAGGTATTTGCTTATGTTCAACTGTAACAGTAGCTACATATTCTATTTTTTGACCTTTATCTATACATATTTCTTTAGATAGAAAATCTTCTGTATTATTCAAATAAACATCGTTTAATTCTCTTTGATTACTTGAAAACTTATAAGATTTACCGGCAATCAATTCTGTAGCAACCATATCATTTCTATCTGTAATTTCCAATACATTATTTACTTGTTTCTTTATATGTGATATATAATCGTTGAAAATAGCGTTTTTGTATGTATATACGTGTGATTCTACTATTGCTATGTATGTTGGTCCATCTATTTTCTCATTTTCGACGTCAGTTATATTGTGATAAGATCGTCGTCTACCTAAAACTCTTTGTGCTGCTGCTGAAGTTGCTAATTTAATATCTTCTTTCATTTGTTCCCTTTCTTCTCTATTAATTTCATTAAATAATTTTAATGTATTGTTATTGGAAATTTCATCTACTTTAGTAACACTTTTCGCTCTCCTATTATCGTGAAGTTTGTTTTGTGATTTATTTATATTTAATTTGTATTGAAATTCCGATAATACAGTATTCATTTTTTCAGTTAATTCTTTAGGTTTTCTTGATACAAGTTCGACTATATCGGCGCTTGATAATTTCCTTTTAATATTATCTTTATGTTTAGTTAATTTTGTTGTAGACTCTAGTTCTTCTTTTATCGTTAATTTTGAATGTATTGGTATAAATCTTGTTAATCTTATCATTATATTTGTTAGATATAATAAGAATATATTCAATGAATGTTTTGAAAATCTTATATCTGCTGTTTTTTTAATTCGTTGTATTGTTTCTGTTCCTATAGAGAATGCTTTTCTCCATGTCATTTTCATTTGTCTACCTTTTATATCTTTCATTTTGTTTTCAAATAACGTTGTTTTCTTTTTAACTAAACCTTCTTGGATGCTTTCTTCAATTTCTTGTAATAAAAATAGTTTACTTTCATTGTTTGGTTCAATTTCATTGTTAATTTTAGGTTCTGTGTCGATTTTTTCATATAAATTGACAGTTTCTTTTACAGATTTAGGAATGAGACTAGTTTCGTCTAAAAGTTTTTTTTTAAATTGATTTTCTTTTGCCAATTCTTCTGGCATTAAAGAAGGTTGTATATAATTTTGTGATTTCATTAAACGTATGTCATTTTTTATATTTAATTCATGATCATCTTTTATCATTTCTTTGTTCGTTGTAATTGCTTTTATTATGCTATCTGTGATTATTTTACGTGCAGTTTCTTTAAGATCTTTTATATTATCTTCTTTATTATTTATAAATGAGTCTTTGTTATTTTTGTCTTCTGTTTTAATAGTATCTTGATTTATTTCTTTATTTGAATTATACTGTCGTATTTTTGTATCGATTCTTTCTTCCTTATGCATCCATTTAATATTTTCTGGTACATATTGTTTTGATATTGGTAATTTAAATGTGTTCTCTTGTGTTTCTGTTTTATTTGATGTTTTATGAATATTTTTATATAGTATTTCATTGTAGTATTCTTTTGAAAAAGGTCGGAATTTCTTTACGTGTGTGAGAGTTTTATTTTCTCGTTCGTTTGTTATCGTTGATTTGTATATCGGTACCTTTGTTTGTCTGTTGGATAAAGCTCCTTGGTCTATGGCTGTCTTTTCGACATCGTCTAACACCGGAACGTGATTTCGCCTGGAAATAATTAAATCAAAGATTAATTTTAAATATGATTTGACAATTACTGGCCAGTATTTTAGAATGGAGTAAGAATAAAAAGTTTTTTTATAATAAAATGATTGCCAATTCGAAAACGAAGTTTGAAAACATTTTTTTTCTTCATTAAAGAGGTATATTTGTAGTTAATCACGGAAATATTTATTTCAAATTATTAAAAACTAGCACTTTCGTAATTAAATAACATTTCTTTGAATAAAAAAAAACATATCCAATCACAAAACTTTTAAATCCTGGCCACTTATAAAAATATTAACAATTCTTACAAAAAGAAAAAACTAACACAGACGACAAATAAAAATGACACATAATTAAAAAGAAAACTCACTTTTTTCCACAGACCAAGTAATCATTCATAGTAATAATTAATATTATACCAATTTAAAAACAACCATTCGTTATAAAACAAATGAATCAATGTTTACTAGTTGACTCATCTTATTGTTCTCTGACACATCTCGATTCGCGTCAGATATATTTTTAGAGATCCGTACATCAAACTTTTTTTTTATATCATAAGGTGGCAAACGAGCGAGCGGCCACCTGAAATCGCTGAAATAGCGAAGTGTCCGTTGCCCATAGACATACGCAATTGCATATGCGTTGCCTACCTTTAATCGACGGAGAGGAAGAAGAAAGAAAATATCTTCCCTTTCCATTCATCCTCTCATCCGGAAAGACAACTTGCACTTCCTATCCTTTCCTTATAAGAAAAAGGGTGGGAAGGGAAAGAGGACAAAATTAGGCCTCCGGGACGCACACTCATCAGACTGTAGTTGGAATAGCTTCTTACTTGAGGCCTGTCTTCTGTGTGGTCGTGGTATTTCACCGGGCGAGCCGGGACAATTCGTGCGAAGATGTTAAAGCGGGCTCTACCATTGTTAAAAAAACTGTCCTTATCCATACTTATCGGCACATTATGTTATATACATCTCTATCAACCATATCTGAATCGATCCCTTTCTTACGCATATCCTCAATCACACAATAATCTCTTAAAAATAAATATATAAACAAAAAAGTATTTTATTTGATTTAGCATCAAAGATTAACAGGAACTGTCAATGTCAAGTGACATAACGTTTTTGTAAACGCTTAAAGATAAAAAAGACACTAACCTTTAAATAACGATACCTTTAAAATGTTAACGAAAACAACGTTAAAATAAGATTAACCGATTGTGAGATTAGCGCACTCAAACATACAGAGAAAGATTCTAATAATCATTTTATCTTACTAATATTATAAATGCGAATGTTTGGATGAATGTTTGTTAGAAGGTATCTCCAGAAAGGCTGCATAGATCTAGCTAAAAGGCATAGATGTAGACCAGTCTTTCCCAAAGTGGGCGATAACGCCCCCTTGTGGGCGCTGCAGGTCTCAAGTTGCGGGTTATAGTAAAGGTTTCGTTTAGAATTCTCCGTTAATATACATATATAGGTCACAATAATTAATTTATTTAATTTGAAGTTATAGTGGTTTTTAAATATGTGAAAATATGGGGGCATTAAAAAAATATTTATTCTCAAAGTGGGCAGTAGACAAAATAAGTTTGGGAACCACTGATGTAGAACATAGTCTAGAAGACCGCATAGAAAACCAAATAAATTTTTTAGTAATGGGCTGATAAAGTCAGCGCGGAATTTAAAAGAAAGCTCAATTAATAACCTACGTGTTGTTCCAGGCTTTGTTTAACATCTATGCATTTCAGCGATATCCATGCGGGCGTTCTGGAGATAATTTCTAACAAACATACATCTAAACATTCGCATTTATAATATTAGTAAAATAAATAAACCTACGGAACTCGTATTTAATAAATAATTCTAGCTTGTCTATGAATCATCAATTATTTGGCTACGTCTTTATATCGACGTATAATAAATATTGGCACACATCAACGCGTGGTTACAACGTCAATCAAACTTGAATCGATGATGGAGATATCAATATTTCCTGGTTATTTTCATATATAAAAACATAACAATAGATGTAGAGTTTCATGCAGAAGTTCCGAAGATACCTGCTAACAAACATCCATCTAAACATTCGTATTTATAATACTAATCATCAGGTCACTATAGGTCCTCACTGAGGGTCTCTGCACCTCCCCTAAGTGAGAGTATGTGATAGTGAATGCTGGTCCAGTGCAAGACTTGACACATATGTTTGAGTTTGTCAGATATGTGCAGCATCACGATGTTCTCCTTCACCGTAACAACATAGGATAAATGTACATATGTAAATGTAACACATTCATACATCACGTGATTACAACACAAAGTTATTATTCTGTTTTTATTATCCCATTTTAACATAAGTTTCTTGTCTCCACATAACGTGTTGTTAAATAGTTTAACATTGACTTATATATAAATATAATTTGGCAACACTTCAATTGATTGGGAATTGAGTAACATTGGCAGGTCTCTGGTATTTGACGGAAGATTGTTGAGCATTTTGCTTTCAAGAGATCACGTGAATGAAAAGGTTGTTAGAAATTCATACATAACAAAATTCACTTATAAGTTAAGAAATACATCTACGATGAACTAAAAATTATTAAAAGGAGTCCCTTTAGGCAAGGTTACGAATATACTGGCAGCGTTCCCCCTTTGAATAGCTATACTAATTCTCGAGGTTGTCCAACTTTTCGGTCCCCTTTTTTTTCATTGGGGAATGCTTTATGGATACTCCGCGCCCCAGGGGGGACGCGGTAGTTATGTGGGTTTCTCCTCCATAGCGGAGGCATACCCACTAAACCCCTCTGTTTCTCCAACGCATCGGGACGGGACCACGGGCACGCTTTCGCTCTCGTCCGCGGCCTAACTTTTCGGTCCCCTGTGATGTTGAGTAACTTCCTTTCCGCTATATATACCGTCGAATACATTACTAATATTATAAATGCGAAAGAGCGTCTGTCTTAAGGGTCAGTTGACTTGTAATCATGTCCTGTGTTGTAATCCAGTCATGTATGAATGTGTTACATTTACATATGTACATTTATCTTATGTTGTTACGGTGAAGGAAAACATCGTGATGCTGCACATATCTGACAAACTCAAACATATGTGTCAAGTCTTGTACTGGACCAGCATTCACTATCACATACTCTCACTTAGGGTACTCCGAGACCCTCAATAAGGACGTATAGTAAGCTGTTGGATTTAATAAATCACATTTGACTATCAATTTAAACTTTATATTGAGGTGAGCTTTTCAAAAACATCGATTTAAGTTTTAAATCTCTCTCGTCGAATCTAATTCAGTTGTCATGAAATGTCAAAGCTTTTCTTTCGGTATTTTTTTAACGTCCTTATTGTTTTAAAAAGATAAAAAGTTCACGACGCAACTACGAGTATGTAACGACCTTCGATTTCTATAAATATTTAATCGAAATTTAAAAATGGAACCCACGTTCAAGCAAAATCTTTAGATCAAAAAAAATAAAATAAAAATGGAGCACCAGGGTCGGAGTTACGCGGTAACACATATAAAAAACATACAGACGTATTGATCCTTCTTTTTGAAGTCGGTTAAAAAAAGATAAGCAATTTTGAAGTTCTAAATTAAAAAAAAAAAATATTCCCGCCGTTACAAGTGTACGTTATTACGAAGTGTCAAAGTGACCAAACAAAATCTTACTAATATTATAAATGCGAATGTTTAGATGTATGTTTGTTTGATGATATCTCCTAGAACGACTGCATGGATCTCACTGAAATTTGGCATATATAAACACTAGCTGTCGCTCGCGACTCCGTCCTCGTGGATATATAAAAAAACTTAATTAGTGTAGCCCACCCATCCATCCACATCAGATCCATCTAAACATTCGCATTTATAAGATTAGTAAGTTAAATAAAAAGGCATAAATTCGAAAAAAAATGAATAAATAGTATCCTATGTCCGTCTCCTGGCTCTAAGCTACCTCCTCACCAATTTTCAGTCATATCAGTAAAGCCATTCTTGACTTATTAATAGTGTAACTAACACCACTTTCTTTAATATTATCAGAAAGAACACATAGACAACTAATTATTTTTTTAAATCAGCGCGGATAAAATCGCAGGCGACAGCAAGTGGCTTATAATTATTGAAAGAAAACTTACTGTGTTTGTTAAAATGAATCCGAACAACTTTACACTGACACGGTTAATTACAAACTGCCAGTTAAAATTGGCAAAGAGTTAATTGACCGCATTTCTTTTTAGTTATAACTAGGGTTGTCACCTCGAGTCTAGTATTTACATTATTAATCAAATTTGCGATGTTCCAAATAATCGTAACGCTGCCTTTATACATGGATAGGTTTATTTAATTTCCGCCATTTTGCTGACGGTGATAAAACACATTTAAAGAAACAAAAGCTATCAGTTCCCAGCACGTGTTGACTGTGGCCTTTCTTTTTTTTCATTGGGGAATGCTTTATGCATACTCCGCGCCCCGGGGGGGACGCGGTTGTTATGTGGGGTTCTCCTCCATAGCGGAGGCATACCCACTAAACCCCTCTGTTCCTCCAACGCATCGGGACTGGGCCAAAGGCACGCTTTCGCTCTCGTCCGCGGCCCCGTCTGTTGTTGACTGTGGCCTAGTTACTTAGGCTAAACCCCACAGAGGTCAAGTGTCAAGTTGACAAGTCGTTTTTTAGCATATGTTAATATTAAAAAGACTTTTTTCTATTTTGTATCTATGTTTATTAATTTAAAAAAAAACATTACATATGAACTAGTTGGCTTCGCTATTAGTTCGTGTTTTGTTTTTTATCGCATAATTTCGAAGTAAAAAAAATGCATTGGACAATCTTCTATATCTGCGCACCTCTTTTGTGCTGCGCTGCCGTGAATATGAAGGCTTTGACGGAGTCAATGGGACAAGAAGTTATAGAAATGGATGCACCGATAAAAGGTTTGATAAACCGGGCTTTAGCCCGTTCTCTGATCGAAATTAAAACACCTAAGTTCCTAAGTAGTCTATGTGTTCTTCCAGACTATGTTCTACATCTATACCGAATTTCATTAAGATCTATGCAGCTGTTCTGGAGATACCTTCAAATAAATATCCATCTAAACTTTCGCATTTATAATAAGACTAGCTGTCGCCCTCGACTCCTTTCACGTGGTATTAAAAAGAACCTTATTAAGTAGGCTATGTGTTCTTCCAGACTATGTTCTACATCTATACCAAATTTCGTCAAGATTCGTTTAGCCGTTCGGGAGATATCTTTTAACAAACATCTATCGATCCATTCAAACTTTCGCATTTATAATTTAGGTTTTCTAAAGTTTTTTTCAAAACATAAACCACCAGAATAATCTTGGAAAAAAGTCTGGTCAATCTGACTCAGGATTTTTCGCATATATAATATATTTTTATATAAGTTTGTTTGTATGTAAATTTAAACAAGACTAGCCTAAACGAATGAACAGATTTTAACAAATGGACAAAGTCGGGATTGGATGGTATCGCCTCGGAGCGAATGTTATCTAAACCCTCTTAACACATTTAATAGAATCTTCTCTTTCCTTCTAGAATTACCTCCTGAAATTGAAGAGGAACCGTCAGCTGAAAACGATGCGGAAGTAAAGTCTGTCGCAACGACTATATCTTCTACTAAAAGTTCTACGGTAAGTTTGTTTTTTTAATTTTCAATAAGGCGAAGTTTGAACTTAAGTTTGAGGTTTATCTATTTTAATCAAAGAAAATCAACGAAATCATGACATATTTTTAAATAATACTTTCAGCAATGTAAACTTACGTTAACTATTGATCAATTCTAAACTATATTTATATACTAGCTGTCGCCCGCGACTTTGTACGCGCAGAACTAAAAAAGTAACCTATGTTCTATATCTATGACAAATTTCAATGTAACCGTTCTGATGATATCTATTAACAAACAATAATCTATCTACATAAACATATTTATAATACAACTAGCTTTTTCCCGCGATTTCGTCTACGCGGAATTAACAATTAGTAGCCTATGACGTTATTCGTAACATCAGCGTATTACAGCCGTCTGGAGATGCATTTAAACATTCGCATTTATAATATTAGTAATGAAAACGTAACGCGTATTTCTTTGAAATAAATATTTTCATTTAATAGATAAAAGAAACGAAACGCAGAATAAAAGAAACAGAAAGAACTAGAAGTAATCAAGAGGAAGAGGAAGCAAGAATTGAGAAGGAGTTGTCCGATTTATATAAAGATACTTCAGGTACTGTTTAATTATTATCATTTCATCAAACAAACATAATAAGTAGTCTATGTGTTCTTCCAGACTATGTTCTATATGTATTTCAAATTTCATCAAGATCCGTTCAGCTGTACTGGAGATACGTTCAAACATACATCCATCTAAACATTCGCATTATATATATATATATATCTGACAAATATTAGTCAATATTTCAAATGCTTAGCTTAAACATACGTTTTTATAAAGTAACTAGCGGACCCGACAGACGTTATCCTGTCTACACGTCTTTAATTCGAATATTATTTAAAATTTGACACTGCGATGGTAGCGCCGTCTGTCGGATCCAATGTAAAACATTCCAAAATCAACAACTAATAATAATTAAAAATTAATTAAAAAAAACATTGTCCAGCGGACAAAATTGTGAATCTAAACCATTCCCAGATCCTTTTGAACACACAAAAAATTTCATCAAAATCGGTCCAGTCGTTTGAGAGAAGTTCAGTGACATACACACTCACAGAAGAATTATATATATAAAGATTATAAAACCGGGCGTGGATTTTTGACAAATCATGGCTATTGAAAACATTATTATGGCTCACGAAATGACTTCTTGAACAATACATATTTACTATGAAACTTACCTCTTTGACGTACATAATATTACCTAGCCTACCTTAAGTTAAGGGTGATTAGGCCATAGTCAACCACGCTGGCCAAGTGCGGGTTGACTTCACACATATGTTTGAGTTTGTCAGATATATGCAGCATCACGATGTTTTCCTTCACAGTAACAACATAAGATAAAAGTACATATGTAAATCTGAAATGTAATAACACATTGGTACATAGCGGGCTTTGAACCCAGGACCTGCAGAATGCAAGTCAAGTGACCCCTGAGCCACCGTTGCTCTGATAAATGTGTAATTTGTCTAAACAGTGTTCTTTCCATTTATATCATATACAGGATGTATTTTTTTTAATTATATTATTTTTAAGATTACAAAGCGGATAGTGGAGAAGTTTCTAAAGATACGCAACGCATATCGTCTACCACCGTAAGTCAGAGCGGGACAGAAGATGATTCTTTAAAACCGGTTGCTAGAGCGAGAGAGGAGTAAGTTACACAAAGTTGAACTGTGTACTGATTAACGTTACGACGTGTAATGCTACCAAGTCCATACAACTTTCATACATACAACTAAATCTATACATTTAATAAAATTTAAGTCTATATGTCATATAAAAATTGCGAACACGATATTTATATTTATTTACTAGCTGTTGCCCGCGATTCCGTCCGCGCGGAATTAAGAAAATAACTTAACAAATAGTTTATGTGTTCTTCCTGAGTATGTTCTACATGTATGCTAAATTTCGCAAATAGGAAGGGAAAACATTTTTTGTTTCTGTGCATCCTCTCCTCCGTCGATAAAAGGTAGGCAACGCATATGCAATTGCGTATGTCTATGGGCAACGTTCACTTCGCTATTTCTGCGATTTTAGGCGGCCGTTCGCTCGTTTGCCACCTTATGATATAAAAAAATAATCTTCGGATTGGAAACGTAGCTATTGGACGCGGGCATATTTTTTTTTATTCTACGCTGATGTAGGCGACCGGTGCTAGTATATCTATACAAATTTATTACAGCTTCAAATTCCAACCTGATACCAACAATAAAGCAGACATAGAGAGATTCAGGACTTCTGTGGATGTAATCAGTTGCGACAAGCAAAGACTTACCGGAGCACCTATTGTAAGTATCATACATACATACATACAAATACAAACTAAAGGAGTATAAGATCACTCTCTCCGTCTCCATCTCAAGTGCTGTTGTCATTATGTGTTACCGAATAACTTCAGAAACCCAGGATGTTTGAGCTTGTATGGGTTTGTATGTAAATTAATTAAATTGTAACACCCTGTATTGAAAACTGAACCGATTTTGACGAATGAGATGACATTTGATTCGTATTCTGCCTCTGATTGTCATCTTACTAATATTGTAAATGCGAATGTTTGAATGGATGGATGGATGTTTGAAAGTATCTCTAAAACGGCTGTTTACTGAAATTTGGCATAGATGTGGAGCACAATCTGGGCTACTAATCTAACAGTGGTAGAGCCCGCTTTAACATGTTCGCACGAATTGTCCCGGTTCGCCCGGTGAAATACCACGACCACACAGAAGACAGGCGTGAAGTGGAAGCAATTCCGCGTTTCGTCTGATGAGTGTGCGTCCCGGAGGCCTAATTTAGTCCTCTTTCCCTTCTCACCCTTTTTCTTATTAGGAAAGGATGTGAAGTGGAAGTGGACTTTCCGGATGAGAGGATGCATGGAATGGGAAGATATTTTTTTTCTGTGCGTATGTCCATGGGCAACGGTCACTTCGCTATTTCAGCGATTTCAGGTGGCCGCTCGCTCGTTTGCCATTTTATGATAAAAAAAAAATTAAGTTTTTTTTTAATTCCATGCAGAAGGAGTCTCTAGTAGTTTAAACATCTTAACAGATTTTGACGATAGAGGTGTCATCCGATTGGTATTCTTCTCCTGAGTGTCATAGATACAGTTGGTTAAGTTTTTTAGTTATAAATGTTTTTTTTTAATGTTGATCATTCATCATCATCATCAGCGCACTATACGTCGCCACCGAGGAGCTCGGAGCCTACCATAAATTAAGGGTGATTAGGCCACAGTCAACCACGCTGGCCAAGTGCGGGTTGGTTGACTTCCCACATATCTTTGGATTTCTTCTCAGATATGTGCAGGTTGCATCACAATGTTTTCCTTCACCGTAAGAACGTCGGATAAATGTACATATGTAAATCGGAAATGGAAAAACACATTGGTACATGGCGGGATTCGAACCCAGGACCTGCAGATTGCAAGCCAAGTGCTTGACCACTGAGCCACCGACGCTCCTTTAATGTTGAATTTTATTTAATTCCAGACAATGTCTCCACTCTCGTCAGCTGGACATCAAATATTATCCAGTACTGTTTTATTGATTACGATGAAATATATTTTGCATTTTTAAATGTTATTATACAAAATTATTTGTTCTACTAAATAAATAAATATGTTTGGACGTTTGAATAAATTGTCTTTACCTATATGTTTATTTGAGATGTATATTTAAAGTCAGGAATATATAAAAACGAAAAGAGTATTAGAAAACGCATAAAAGTAGCGCCAGTGGTCAGTAATAAGGTGGGGAGACTACAGGGCGCCGAACATAAGGGGGCGCCGGATATAAGGGGGCGCCGGACATAAGGGGGTGCCTCAGATGCCATAGTCACGTATAAAATGGCGTTTGTGATGGCCTCAAAAATATCCTATCTTTGGAAGCTTTTATTTATTTATGATACACCAACGGGTAAGTTATAAGACATGCGAAAAAAAAACTTATTACTGAAACAGAAAACACATAATAACTTATCACAATTAAAGGTGTACACATCATGCGAGACTAATGATGAATCAAACAAACGACAACACAAAAACCAATTGTGAAGAAGCTTTCCTCCTGACACCAAAAAAGGGCGCCGAAAAATGTCGCCCACGGCGCCGCAAATGCTAAAACCGGCCCTTTAATTCCCATTTCCTTCCCTCCCTTTTATTATAAAGGAATAGAAGAAACATTGAATTTGACGTAGAAGGGAATGCGTAGAAAGGAGAAATATTATCTGTGCGTCTTCCTCCTTCGTAAAGTAAGGCAACTCTTAAAATATTAAAATGTGACTCCATGGTTGATATTTAACTTAGCTGTGCTCCCACAGAAGTTAGCGGGGCATTTTTTAAACTACGTTGGCTTTTAATATAGTAATTATTTATGACTAATATTTTATGACATTTTATTACGATATTATCAAAGTTTCAAATATCTTTAGATTCATCAGGAGATAACACTTTCCGAGTAAACCAATAATTAAGATAAACAAATACAGGATGTTCAAATACATGAACAACAATCGATTTATTAAAGAATTAAACTGAATTTTTCAAAGAAAATTTACAATAAAATTTTATTAAAAATTTGTTTATCAACACAACAAACACATACGGTATACATGTCGATGTATTCAAAATTGCTTGTTTTTATAATTGAAGGGGGAAAACGGACAACGGGAATACTAAGATTTTCATTGACGCCCATGGACTGCAATTGCAGAGAAACCGCGGATACGTTGCCGGCCTTTGAAATGGGGATACGCTCCCTTCTTGAATTGGTTAGGAAATACCGCCGAGGACAAACCATTCTACAACGAATTTTCTTCCACTTGAGGCGTGTCATCTGTGTGCTCGTGGTATTGCACTGGATGTACCCTATTCGTGCAACAGATGTGCCGTGCCGTTTTCTTATAGGGAAAGGATGGGAAGTGGAAGTGGACTTTCCGGATGAGAGGATGCATGGAAAGGGAAGATATTTCTGTGCATTCTCACCTCCGTCGATTAAAGGTAGGCAACGCATATACAATTGCGTATGTCTATGGGCAACGATCACTTCGCTACTTCAGCGATTTCAGGTGGCCGCTCGCTCGTTTGCCACCTTATGATATATGAAAGATTGGAGTCCACCACTGTTAAAATAGAAAGTAAATCTTACTAATATTATAAATGCGAATGTTTGGATGTATGGATGTTTGTTGGAAGATATCTGCTGAACAGCCGTTCAGCCGAACGGATCTTGATGAAATTTAACATAGATGTAGAACATAGTCTGGAAGAATACATAGGCTACTTATTATGTTTTTTACTCCGCACGGACGTTACGGGTACAGCTAGTATTTAATGATATTGTCAGCCATAAGATCAATAGCTATTCACTTTTTTATCTTTTATGTTTAACAGATAAGATAATGATTCATATACTAAGATAAGTTACCGGTCTGTGCTTAGTCATATACTATCCAGTGTTGTGTTGGTTCGTTGCTGTTATTTTATTAACTTAATTTTTATTTTTCTTAAAATGGATCATCCTGCATTTGCCGAAGCGGGCAGTGGCGCCGGTATTGAAGTTTGGACAATTGAGGTTTGATTTTTTTTCTTAATCTTTTTCTAATTCCTCTTCTACTCGTAATGGATGACAGTCACCTTAGGGAATCCTTGTCCTGTGCCTAGCGAAAAAGTTGTTGAACGCTGCCAATAGTGATTCAATCCCGGATGTCTTGACCATGACTTTCTTTTCTTACCAAAACCGTCTTCTGTGCGAATTTGCCAATCATTTTTATATAAGAGGAAATTATGCATATCTGGAAAGACTGTGATGTACGACGTTGCTTCGTAACAAATTTCAAGATTCTAAGTTCACGGTGTGTTTTTCGATTTCCGATTTACATATGTACATTTATCCGACGTTCTTACGGTGAAGGAAAACATCGTGATGCAACCTGCACATATCTGAGAAGAAATTCAAAGATATGTGTGAAGTCAACCAACCCGCACTTGGCCAGCGTGGTTGACTATGGCCTAATCACCCTTAACTTAGGGTAGGCTCCGAGCCCCTCGGTGGGGACTTATAGTGAGCTGATGATGATGATGATGATGACGTTCACGGGAAGTAAAAAACTTGCGAAGTAAACGGCTGTATCTTTTGATTGCGTTGGATTAAAAATTTAATTCTTTCACACTTCCAAAAGACAGTGGACCTGAGTATTTGATATAAATTCCAGCTTGATACCTCAACGTGTTCCTGATAAAAAGGGTCTTGACAGACGGACGGACAACAAAATGATCCTATAAGGGTTCCGTTTTTTCCTTTCAAAGTCCAGAGGAATAAAAATCAATTAATTTAAAGTGAAACTATATTTTCAGCAATTCGAACCTGTGCCAATTGAGAAGAAAATGTATGGAAAATTCTTCAATGGTGATTCATATATTGTTTTAAAGGTAAATAATATTATTTAAGCATTTCTATATTTATCTTAAATTAGCTGTCGCCCGCGACTACGTTCCATGGAAATAAAAAAGACATAGTAGACTATGTTCTATATTTATGCCAAATATCATCGAGATCCGATCAGCTGTTCCGGAGATATCTTCAAACAAACATACATCTACACATTCGCATTTATATTATTAGTAAGATTTCAACATTTAATTTGATTTTTGAATTCAAATCACCTACTACAAATTACAAAAAAGAAACTGAATTATAAAATTAAAATTAACACAAGCCTGAATGGTTTATGACTCGCTTAAATTTGGATGTATGGATGTTTGTTAAAAGGTATCACCAGAACGTCTATACACAGACATACAGTGCAGACAGAGATGCGTCAGCAGGCAGTCTTATTCCTTACTAATCTCACTATACAACAGAACGGCTGGATAAATCTCACTGAAAGACATAGATGTAGAACATAATCTGGAAGAACACATAGGCCACCAAGTTTTTAATTACGCAGGAAGGTCGCCTCAGCTATTAATCAAATAACGATTTCAGACAACAGGTGAAGACACGTTATCATACGACGCACATTTCTGGCTGGGCAGTAATACCACACAAGATAAGAAAGGCTCGGCTGCGATTTGGACAATCACTTTGGATGATATGCTGGGTGGGAGAGCGGTCCATCATCGAGAGGTGCAGGGCCACGAGTCCAGTCAGTTCTTAGGATATTTTCAACCGGGTAAGGATAATGGAAACATTGGACAAAGATAGGAGACGATGAGACGACACCGTTGTGTTCCTGCATCTATGACCGGAGGTTTTTAGAAAAAATACAAAGCTAACCTTGCCATGTTTTTTAATTTTAGAATTACTCAGGAATATTGGGGCGTTTATTTATTAACTAGCTGTCGCCCGCTACTCCGTCCGCGCGGAATTTAAAAATAATCTTTTTCGTAGCCTATGTGTTCTTCAAAACTATGTTGTACCTCTATGCCAAATTTTAGCGGGATCCATACATCCCTTCTGGAGATACCTTCTAACAAACATCCATCTAAACTCTTGCATTTACAATATTAGTAAGATTAGTTAAAAACACAGTATTCCTACAAAACTATTGACTGAGTTCTTGACTTAGGTCTAGTCCCTACAGTGACCACGCCTGCTCATGACGTCAGACGTCCTTGTCTTTTTTTATATCATAAGGTGGCAAACGAGCAAGCGGCCACCCGAAACCGCTGACATAGCGAAGTGACCGTTGCCCATAGACATACGCAATTGCATAGACGTTGCCTACCTTTAATCGACAGAGGAGAGGAATCCACATAAAAAAATATATTCCCTTTCCATGCATCCTCTCATCCGGAAAGTCCACTTCCACTTCCCATCCTTTCCTTATGAGAAAAAGGGTGGGAAGGGAAAGAGGACTAAATTAGGCATCCGGGACGTACACTCATCAGACTGTAGTTGGGATTGCTTCCACTTGGCGCTTGTCTTCTGTGTGGTCGTGGTATTTCACCGGGCGAGCCGGGACAATTCGTGCGAATATGTTAAAGCGGGCTCTACCACTGTTAAAGTGTCTGTCTCCACTGTCTATCATAAAGAGGTCAAATTCCTGTACATTTTTACACTAACTAATAATTTTATATTTACTTTGTTGTAGCGATACGTTATTTGGAAGGAGGTAACGAGTCTGGCTTCAACAATGTGGAAACAAATGCCGGAGCAGAGAAACGTCTGCTCAGACTCTCTGGGTGCGACAACATGAGGATCGAAGAGGTACCATTTTTTTCCTTTTATTTAACCTTGCGTAAATATTTGACAGTTGAAACTTATTTTTCAAGCAATTAATCTTATATATATAAAAGAAAGTGGTGTTAATTACAATATTTATAACTCAAGAACGGCTTTATCGATATGCCTGAAAATTGATGAGGAGGTAGCTTAGAGCCAGGAGACGGACATACGATACTATTTATTCTTTTTTTTCCGATTTTTTTTTTAACTTACTAATATTATAAATGCGAATGTTTAGATGGCTGTGATGTGGATGGATGGATGGGTGTTTGAAGATATCTCTAGAACGGCGGAACGGAACATAATCTGGAAGAACACATACACTACACTAATTATTTTTTTTATATATCCACGCGGACGTAGTCGCGGGCGACAGCTAGTTTGATATAAATAAATATGACATTCAAAGTTTTTTTCAGTTTTACCCTTAAGTGTGCAAAATAATAGCGAATAGGGGATGAAAGTTTAATGAGAAAATATAAGATACATTTGAATAGTGTAAATAATTAAAAATGTAACCAGAAGACATGCAAACGAAGGTACATCTAGTAATTTACACCTTACATCCAGGTACCAGCAGAGGCTACATCTCTTACGAAAGACCATTGCTTCATCTTAGAAGTAGATCATGATATCTTCGTATTAATGCCTGAAGGTGCTAAAGCTACTCAGAGACGGAAAATTATCAGCGTTGCGAATACATTAAGAGATGATTATCACAATGGTAGAGCTACTATTGAAATTATTGGTAAGTTAACGGTTAAGTAAGTTCCACAGCATCACAGCATGGAAATTCAGCTCATAAGGACACTAGTATACTGGCAACTCTCATCATTATCACAAGCAAAGACCGGCTTAGAGTCTACTTAATTTAAGGGTAACTAAGTAATAGTCAATTTAAAAGTGGTAGACGCCCAAGAGCGTCGGTGGCTCAGTGGTCAAGCACTTGACTTGCAATCTGCAGGTCCTGGGTTCGAATCCCGCCATGTACCAATGTGTTTTTCGATTTCCGATTTACATATGTACATTTATCCGACGTTCTTACGGTGAAGGAAAACATCATGATGCAACCTGCACATATCTGAGAAGAAATTCAAAGGTATGTGTGAAGTCAACCAACCCGCATTTGGCCAGCGTGGTTGACTATGGCCTAATCATCCTAAGTTAGGATAGGCTCCGAGCCCCTCGGTGGGGACGTATAGTGAGCTGATGATGATGAGACGCCCAATATCTTTTGCATGAATGTACCTCGTCCACTGCAATACTACGACCACACAGAAAACACGCCTCAAGTGCGAAGTAATTCCAACTACAGGTTGACGTATGTTCCATATGCGAAGTTTCCCTTCTCATCCTTGTTTATAAGGAAAGGATAAGATGAGGCTCCCCCTTGATATGTCGGAGAAGTCCGGTGCTACGACCACACAGAAAACACACCTCAAGTGAAAGTGATTCTGCGTTTCGTCATGCCAGAAGCCTTATCTTCTTAGGAAGAAAAGTTGGGAAGTGATTGGGGATTTGTCGAACGACATAGACAAGAGATATATTCTATTTCTATGCGTCTCCTCCGTAGATTAAAGGTAGACAACGCTTCTGCAATTGTTGATGTCTATGGACAGCGTTACGACCGTTTATAACAAATTACTTTATTTTACGATGACTGCTTGTTTGGCCAACTTATACTAAAAAAAATATTGTTAAGACTTAACTCAAATATTGTGTTTTTTTTCTAGATGATTTCTCATCTGACGAGGATATTGCATTGTTCTTCGAAGCTCTAGGATCTGGTTCTAAGGATGATTTGGTTGAAGCGGAATCAACTGCCCAGGTAGATGTTTGTCATGTAATCTTGCAAAATAAATTACCGATTACTGATTGAATTGAAACTTTGCATATATGTATAAATCACGTGATAATACGAGGTACTGATCTGACGATGGAATTGGAGTTTTTTTTTTATATCATAAGGTCGCAAACGAGCGAGCAGCCACCTGAAATCGCTGAAATATTGAAGTGACCATTGCCTATAGACATACGCAATTGCATATGCGTTGCATACCTTTAATCGACGGAGGAAAGAATGCACAGAGAAAAAATATTTTCCCTTTCTATGCATCCTCTCATCCGGAAAGTCCACTTCCACTTCCCATCCTTTCCTTATAAGAAAAAAGGTGGGAAGGGAAAGAGAACTAAATTAGGCCTCCGGGACGCACACTCATCAGACGAAACGCGGAATTGCGTCCACTTCACGCCTGTCTTCTGAATCGTCTTAACGATTTTTTTAATTCCTAGTCTTGTTTTAATTATATAATTTGTTGGCATGGTTACCTTCAAAAGATACGAAACACACAAATGGGTTTTTCAATTACGCATAAATAAAAAAAAAACAAATTCAAACATCTGCTTTTAACAAAGATCGAATCATTTGAAGAAAATGATCATCTTCACACAAAGTTCTATATTGCAGACGTACACCAGAGAAGACATGACAGCGGTCTACTTCTACCGAGTTCTGACTGGTGATGATGAGCTGGATTTAGTGTCACTCAGCAAACCTTACAAGCAAAGGCAGTTGTCTTCTAATGTAAGTAAACCATACCTTGAATACATCTAGTTTACACTAGGCTAGTAATTTAATTGAATGTCAAGTAATGTTATTTCTTACTAATAATATAAATGCGAATGTTTAGATGTATGTTAGAAGATATCTAAAGAACGGCTGAACGGATCTTGATGAAATTTGTCATACATATAGAACATAGTCTGGAAGAACACATAGACTACTAATTAGGTGTTTTTTTTAATTCGACAGTTAATTTAGTAGATATCTTCCAGATCTTCCAGTTTTTATGGTATAACTGGCTGTCGCCCGCGACTATGTCTGCACTGAGTTAAGCATAAACTTAGGATCATATATGTTCTTCCAGACTATGTTCTACGTCTATGACTTTCAGCGAGATCCATACAGCCGTTCTGGAGATAACTTCTAACAAATATCCATCTAAACATTCGCATTTATAATATTAGTAAGAAGAAAACGTGCAAGCGACAAGTCTCGATGGCCATCGTGCGATTCCTGAGATCTCCAAAAACAAACCTGGATTCAACTCTTTCAAGGAACACACATACTTATCCTTTTTTTGTTCCTAGGAGGTGTATATCCTAGACACGCCTTGCTCAGGCGTCTACATCTGGCTTGGTAATGACCTAGACGAGGAGATCAAGAAAAACTATTACCAAATCGCACAAAAATATCTAGATATGAAGGAATATCCATCCTGGGTAAGTTATTTCAAATTAATTGTGTTAAATTTAAATTTACCCCCTTCACTACCCTTCATTTGGGGTAGGCTCCGAGCCCCTCGGTGGGGACGTATAGCTGATGATGATGATGAATTAAAATCTAGACAAACAATATCGAAATAAACGTTTTTAATACATTTTTTTTTTACAACTTTTGTCTGTCTGTTTGTGCCGGCTAATCTCTGAAACGGCTGGACAGATTTTGACGGGACTTTTATTAGCAGATAGCTGATGTAATAAGGAGTAACTTAGGCTACTTTTATTTTAGAAAAAATCTTTTATTTTAGAAAAATAAAGCAACGTCTAAGTACCAATATCGCGCGCAGCACAAAGACAGAATTTCACCCAAAGTCGCGGGCACAACTAATCTATATATATAAAAGAAAGTGGTGTTAGTTACACTATTTATAACTCAAGAACGGCTTTACCGATATGCCTGAAAATTGGTGAGGAGGTAGCTTAGAGCCAGGAGACGGACATAGGATACTATTTATTCATTTTTCGAATTTATGCCTTGAAGAGCTGCTTTTTATTTTACTTCTCTATATATTAAGTGTTTTTTATATTTCCACGCGGACGGAGTCGCGAGCGACAGCTACTTATACGATAACAAAACATTACGCCAGTGTAAACTTGACTTTATAATTCACCAGGTCCACGTTACCAGGGTAGCAGAAGGCAACGAGAGTTGCACTTTCAAACAGTACTTCCATAATTGGGAGACTATTGGTGCTACTAACTCCCGTATGGTCTCCGAATCAGGTTAGAGAGGGACAGTAATATGAAATTGTATTAGAAAGAGATAACAGTAGTTCGCAGTGTTGCGCGAATGCACCTGCCTCTTTCTTTCATTTACTTATAAAAAAAGGTGGTTTTGCAGAAAAAATCTGCAGGCGTTCGTCTAAAAAATTCTAACTTAACACAGTTTTCTACGGACAGTTACCTCGCTGTTTTAGCGAAAAACTGAAGATCAAACATAGTTAAGTGGAAGTAATTCCGCGTTTCGGATGAGTGTACGCTTTGGAGGCCTAATTCCAGTCTTCTTTCCCTTACCACCCTTTTCTTATAAGGAAAACGTAGATAGAAGGGGATTTGAAGGTGTAGGGGGACGCATAGTAAGGGAAAATATTTTCTCTTAGTATGTCTCCTCCTCCGTCGATTATAGTTCGGCAACGCATTTACATTTGCGCATCTATGGGCAACGGTTCGCCATTTCGGCTAATTCAGATGGCTTCCTCGTTTTACCTTGACGGCTTGGCCGATTTTAATACAACTTTATGCGTACATTCAATAGCTCTGAGTATACTAACCATTTTTTAATTCCGGACAGAGTCGCGGGCGACAACTTTATGTATATTAAATATTTTCAGATGCTGGTTATTTCTCTGGTGACGCTGAAGAGTCAAATGCAGCTGGCAAGCTGATAGGAAAGAGTGCGTCTGCGAGGGGATACATGCCAGATACTGGGGAAGGAATTTATACAGTCACACGGTAAGTCAATCGATACAACGGTAGACGTCAACTATCCGACATCCGCAATTGCAGATGCGTTTGCCTTAAGTCGACGAAGACGCACAGAATTTCCCCTTCTTTTGCGCCCCCTCCTCCGTCAAATCCACTTTACATCTCATCATTTCCATATAAGAAAAGTGTGGGAAGGGAAAGCGGACTAAAATTTGACTTCCGGAACAACACTCATCAGACTATAATTGGAATAGCTTTGCACTTGAGGTGTGTGGTCGTGGTACTGCACCGGACGAGACCTATTAATGCAACTGGAGTCTAAAACTGTTAGAAATGTATTATTTCAATGTAAATGTCTAATACAGTTCGTTTTTCCAGTATATCTGGTGAGGAAGAAGATATAACTGACCAGATTATTGAGAAGCCAGTGTTATACGACAACGATGTGTACGTGGTGAAGTACCAGTACGATGACAATGGTGATGAAGCTTATGTCATTTACGTGTGGATTGTAAGTTAATGAAAAAAAATCAAAAGTATATTTACTGTCGAAATATACTTATAATTCTAGTAAACGTAATTTTGCTATTAAATTTTAATAGGCGCATTTTTAAACAAATTGTTGGAAATCTTATGTAATTCAGTTTACTGTTTTTAAAAATGGAATAAGTGAGATGAAAATAGCATTTTAAACTTTTCAACGGTTATGGTTAGGAATACGATTATCTTTCTTTTATTGTTTTTTTAATAAAATTTAATTTTTGCAGGGAGCTAATGCTGACCCATCAGATAAAGCGGCGGGAATCGAAATGGCTGCACAAATAGATAAAGAGGAAGAAGCCAATGTTAACGTTGTAAAAGTACCACATGGGAAAGAACCTAAACATTTCTTGGCTATATTTAAAGGTAAAATAGCGTTGTTATTAAGATAAATATTAATCTGCTTATATTATCTCTAATATGCTTATTATCTTTAAAACAATTAAAGAAATAAATAGATTTAAAACTTGTCTATAAAAGGAAAATGATTCATTTGCTTTTCGTATATTATTTTTCCGTGAATATAAATGTTATTAATATTATAAATGCGAATGTTTGGATGTATGGATAGATGGATGTTAGTTAGAAGTTATCTCCAGAACGGCTGCATGGATCTCGCTGAAATTTGGCATAAATGTAAAACACAGTCTGGAAGAACACATTGGCTACTAATTTATAAATTCCGCTGAAACGGAGTCGCGGACTACAGCTAGTGATAGATAAATTTAATAAATAGAATCTTTTAAATTAATTAGTAATTTAATTCAGGAAACTTGGCTGTATTATATGGGAGTAAAGATGAAAAATATAAAGCACAGAATTCAAAGAAATCATACGACGAAGATGGCGTTAGATTGTTTAGAGTGAGTAACTGAAACATATAGTCATCCTTATCGTTGCTTTAGAAAGGACAGAGATAACAATATTTTTTACTGCATTTTTCAAAAAATAGCAAAACCACCGTTGCCTATAGACATTTTCAATTGCAGATGCGTTGCCTAACTTTAATCGACGGAGGAGACATACAGAAAAAGGATATTTTTCCTTACTATAAGATCCTTCCTCTGTCAAATCCATTCCTTAGGAGAATAAAATTAGTACTTCCGCACGCAAAATGTCAACTGCTCGGCGCAAATGTCCTGGAGTCGATAAAATAATTGAAACGGTTTATACATGAGTTTACTTTCCAGGTGGAAGGCACGGAACTGGAAGTGGACATGAGAACAGTCCAGGTGCCCGAAACTGCTGAAGTTCTGGAAGATGACGATGTATTTGTTCTGGAAACTGCTGACAAGATATATGTGTGGCATGGCAAGGTAACCTTGAAAACATTAATGTCAAATTAAATAAACAGCGCGGCGGCCATTATGACAATTCGATTTTTTTTATTTTATGTAAATTGTAAGAGAAAATTGAATGATTTTGTAAATTAGTAGCTACGTGTTTTGTTACTAATATTTTTGTATTTTAGAGTTAACTTTTAATATATTTTGATTTGGAAATCAGTTTAATGTACTTTCAACAGGAATCGCAAGAAACGGAGCAAGAAGCAGCTACAAACTTCGTGCAGAAAATTCTTGGCGAAGAGAAAGAGATTATTACTCTAAACCAGGGAGAGGAAACTGATGATTTCTGGGAATTTTTAGGTAAAGTGTGACAAAGATATGCTAGAGAATATATTAAAGTCTATTATGATGGCTATAAGACATGATATTTTGTGCCTATTTGAATATCGCCATTTTGGCACTAATAATATAGATAAAATAACTTGTCACGTAACATTTAAGAAACACGTAACGTTTAAGGAAAGAAGACAAAGCTGTCATTTCCAAGCAAACCTATTTATAGATATCTCTACTATATCATTCTCTATATTTACTAAACTTATTTCGAATATAACAAAAAGGTGGTGCACCAGAAGAGAAGGAGGATTCATCAGGCTGGAAGTTGACACTCAACCGACGTGTCACTACGCCGTTGAGTTTGACAGCTGTCACTGTCAGTGTGACAGGAAAGATTGACTTCGAGGAATTGCCTCCGGAATTCACGCAACAGGTTACCAGAAACTTATTTTTATACTTTTTTTTTGTAAAAAAATAAGAACATGTTTTTTGGATGTGTGTTTTTTAACAGTGAAACCTTTTTTTTTTCAGGATTTATCTGACGATGGAGTCTATATCTTGGATACAGGAGAAGAGCTGTACTTCTGGAAGGGAAAGAACATTCCGGAAAGAATTAGGATGGCTAAAGATAGTATTATTGAGGTATAAGTTATCCCATAAACATATAACAACCCAATAATTCCTTTAACGATTAAAAACTCTTTAAAAGTTAGGCCATAGATATATTGTTTATTTTACTGTCAAATAATTTGTCAAACTCATGATTTGACCGACAGTTTATTTGCTTTTCAATGTTGCCATATGTAAAATTTTTATTTCTACTGTTGGCAATACATTTAATATATTTTTATATTTATTCACCAGGAATACATATCAGACGATGGTTTAGACAGAACTGTGGACTCGGCTATCGTAGTCTCCGTGCGTCAGGGCAAAGAGCCTGCGGTGTTCAAAAAGTTATTCCCAGACTGGGATGATGATATGTGGGAGGTTGGTAGTTTTATTTAACACACTAATATAAAAAAAATAAAACAATAAAAACAGAGAATTTAGGCAAAGTGAGAGATGTGCCAGGAGTATGCCGAATAGAATTCCGAGTCTTATGCTTACCTTTCTAGGTTATGAGTTCGACATTTAAGAACGTTTGATATGTTACGTAGAAAAACATTAAAATAATCAATAATTTTATTGTTTTTATCTATATTTAAAAGGATGGGTAAGTATTTTTTATTATAATAAAGCGGCATAAAAAATTGTCGCGGTCACTATCGCGCCATGTCAATGTCAGTTATGGCAGTGACGTCATATCTGTGCTAATTTTTTTTAATCTGTTATTTTTCAGAACCAAACATCATATGAGGACATCAAAAACGAAACGAAAGCCGCGAATTCCAAATAAATACCGAAGGATATCAAAATAAATAACCACAAAATATTTTTTATTTCTCAATTTACTATATTAATAAAAAACATCACAAATTAATTGATATTTCTTACAAATATAATGATAACATTTTAAATATTTTTATCCAACAAGAAGGAGGTTATCAAGTCGTCTGTATCTTTTTTTTATAACCTTCTCAACAAAATCATGTACTTTTAATAATATAAAGTATATTCTGGGTAACAGGTTAATTATGTTGATTATAGAGGCTTATCTAAAACCAGAGTTTGTTGTTATTGAAGGTTGTTGAGACCTGACAATGACTCTCACTCATGCTGTTAACTGTCGCAAGCGACTCCGTCCGCAAGGAATTAAAAAAAAACAATTCATAGCCTTTGTGTTCTTTCAGAATGTGTTCTATATGTTTGCCAAATTTCATTAAGATTCATTTAAATATTCAAACTTTCATGAGACATTACACTAAACAGATATATATACACCGATGTCCGGGAAATAATACCAGTACCACTCATCCTGATGAAGGGCCCCCGATGGGCTCGAAACTAGTTGATGCCGCCACCGGACGAATATATGTCAGTGTTTAGCAGTTTTTATATATCAGTTTTAGATCCATTCAGCCATTATAGAGTAATCATTCACATTTATAATATTAGTAAGAAGTAAGATTAATATTTTCCTTTCCTTATGATATCAATAAAGAAATGCATAGATATATTTTATTTTATCTATGCACCAGCTGCAACACATTGATTTATAATCTGCACAAGATTATTATTCTCTAACGCGGCTGCGACTCTTTCTTTATCAGCCAGTTGCTTATTCACCGCATGTTCAGAGACATGGGTACCTTCTGATACTTCCACAGTTACTTTGAAACGACTTGGCAATGCTCGGAGTAATTGTACTCTGATGGATAGACCTGAAATGAAGGAGACAGTTTAGTATTGTTTTCATGAAAGGGCCTCAAGTGGAGGTGGATTTGATGGAGGAAAGGATGCATAGAAATGGGAAAAATCCTCGTTCTGTGTGTTTCCTCCTGCCATTTCGGTAAATTCAGGTGCTCGTTTGCCATGTTACCATACTAAAAAATACTAATAACGCTTAGAAACATTGCTAAAACGTTTTGTTGACTCACCAATCAAAGTAGCCATACTGCAATGTGGTATCGTAGGAGTAAAATAAACAAGCACTTCATTTTTCTTATTATCTATTGATATATTCTTTTCCTCCACAACCCGTAGTTCCTCCAACGTTAAAGGATGTTCTGGGTCATTGATATTCCGAATTAAATCGAAAATTTCTCTTTCGTCAAACTCGTCTGTTATCTCTTCATCGTGATCTGCTGATGTTATTTCCCGTTCTGATTCCTTCTCGTATACATTTGGATTAACGTTATCTGCTACTTTCGTCATTTATTCGATGGTAAATTGTTTTTTTCTTATAATAACAATGTTTCCTATTTTTCACGAAAACAAAATAAGATTTTTGACAGTTCACGTTTTTTTTGTCAATTGTCAAAAGTTAAACAATTCTTACGTTTAGAAATTTCATGAAACTCTGAATTTTTTTAACCGTAATAATATTATGCAAACTTTTCAAATATTTCTTTATTTTTGAACTAAGCAAAGCTTAAAAAATTGTTCATGTATTATATTAAACAATAATGAGCAAGGAATAATTGCAATTATTTTGTTAATCAACCATAACATAAATTTTCGAACGGATATGTCAAAGTTATAACTTGACAAGTTTCTCCGGATCAATACAAAATCCGACTTTCGATCAGAGTTTTTTTAAACTCAACCATTTATTCAAGGGGCGTTTTACTTGAGAAGACTTTTATCAAATCAGAAACGTAAGTAAAACTAACACAATATTACTATTTATTTTCTAGCACTGCCGTATTCAAACAAAATTACATTTAAGTAAATCTGCAAAAGTTTTCACCAAGCTGAAGATTTTCACCATTTTCAACGTTCAATTTTCTTTGTAAAGTTAAAATTAATGTTAAGCCACAAACTCAGCTAACAATGTACTACATAGGAATATATTACATAGGAAATTATAAATCTTTCTAATTTTTATGGGCTCTAAATTCGTAACTAAATTTAAAATGTAAGACGTTCAATAAAAGATGCCACACCTCTTTTATTTAAGAAAAGTTAAAAAAAAATACTAATTCAATAATTTGTAATAATACGAATGTCTGTGATTATATAAGATTCTATATACTTCATATATAAGTTTGACTGTTCATCTTTGAAACACTTACATTATTAACTAACATAAGGTCACAATCGCAGGATGGCAGGCGACCCTTGGGTTATCCAGCCTCACGAGCATGCCAAGTTTGCGGAACACTTCCGTAACCTTGGACCCATCAATGGCACTCTTACAGGAGAGCAAGCAAAGAGATTCATGTTACAAGTAAGTTTTTATACTTATAATAGAATTCAAGATAAAGCAAGAAGTAGAAGCAGTATAAAGCAAACAAGTTAATGATCACTTGTGTTAACTAAACTAGTTTATTTTTAAACTATTAATTTATCAAAAAAGAAGCTTTCTTTTAACCAAAAACTGTTTTTCAGTCTCAGTTACCACCACCGATTCTGGGTCAGATCTGGTCTCTGGCGGACACCAATGCAGATGGAAAACTTGACCTAAAAGAATTCTCTATTGCTTGCAAGGTAAATTTTATAACTCACTAGCCTGTGATCCAGTCTATGTAGAAAAAACAACTTAATTTGTAGCCTATGTATTCTTCCAGATTATGTTCTACATCTATGTCAAATTTTAGTGTGATCCATGCAGCCGTTCTGGAGATAACTTCAAACAAACATACATCTAAACATTCCCATTTATAATAGTAAGATTATTTTTGATTTAATTACATTTTAAAACATATAAACATGTTTTTTTTTAGATAATCAACCTCAAACTCCATGGTATTGAGATCCCTAAAGTGTTGCCACCATCATTACTTGCTTCTCTGAGTCCTACAGGTAAATTGGCATACAATATCTAGATTTTTCTGCTATTTTTGATAAATTTTACACCTAAAATAATGAATAAATTTCTTTCAGGACCAAAACAATTTGTTCCACCAGCAAAACCTCCCATCCCTCCAATGCCAACAATCCCAACTCAATCTCAACAACCATTAATTTCAGGTCTACCCACACAACAAATCCAATCCCAACCGATCCAATCCAACCAATCACTACTCGGTGACTTTGGTTCCCAACCATTAATTAACACAGGTCCTACCGTACCACAACCTTCACCTATCACACCAGCAACAAAACCAAACGTGCCAGATCTAATATCCGGTGCAAAACCACAAAGCCAACCATTAGTTGGCCAACCGTTAATTCTGAATGCTCCAACTCAACAACTCTCTCAAACTTTACTAAGTCAAACTCAACCAATACCATCATCCCAACCTTTGACTACCCAACCACTAATGACTTCTCAACCATTAATGGGTTCTTCCCAACCTTTAATACCATTATCAGATCAACCACCCCTCATAAGTACAGACCCAATACCAACTCAACCTCTATTAGGATCCCAACCCCTACCAGCATCCCAACCGCTCCCAACATCCCAACTTATTGGACCAACACCATTAATCCCGTCCTCCCAACCACAAGCAATCCAAACGGGAACTGTAGGTTTATTGAATAGCCCACCAACCAGTGTGACAACGGTCGCAAGTTCGATTCCAAGTCAACCGGTTACATCTACACCTATTACTGCGGTTAAAAGTGACTCATTTTCTAAACCTGGTAAGTTTTACTTTAATTTTTTGTATACAGGATGATTCTTAACGGATTAAAATATTTATAGAGTTAAAGGTTTTTCTATATTTCTTGTTTAAAACCCTGGTCGCATATCCAGAGGTAAACCCAAAACGAGATGTAAAGATGTAGTGGTAAAAGACATGATTGAGTGCCAAGTCTCACAAAACTTGGACAGAGCGAAGTGGGAGACTGATTGGGAAAGCGCGCTCCACCACTTTGTAGGCAGAGAGAGAGAGATATTGCTTAAAACCATAATACATGTATGTCATGGACAAATCATGGATTTTCAATAGATTTAAAGTTATGTAATTTAATTGTTAAATCTCGGAACCTCATCATCAGCTCACTATATGTCCCCACTGAGGGGCTCGGAGCGTACCCTAAGTTATGTGACTAGGACATAGTCAACCAAGCTGGCCAACTGCGGGTTGACTTGACACGTATGTTTGAGTTTGTCAGATATGTGCAGCATCACGATGTTTTCCTTCACCGTAACAACATAGGATAAATGTACATATGTAAATCTGAAATGGAAAAACATATTGTTACATGGCGGGATTTAAACCCAAGATCTACAGATTGCAAGACAAGTGCTGGACTCTTGAACCACCGACATAACAATCTCGGAACATACTTAGGGTTGAATACATATTAAAGGTCAACGCAAACCTTTAAACCGTCCATTAAAATCATCCTGTATAGTAAGTATCTTGAAGCAATTTTTATTATATTTTTTTTATTACCAGGTTCTTTAGTTGGAAGTCCTGCGGAATCTCCCATGGGAGTTATGACACCACCACCCACTGTAGAATGGGGGATACCACAACCACAAAAACTTAAGTAAGTATTTATCTTACTAATATTATAAATGCGAATGTTTAGATGTATGTTAGAAGTTGTCTCCGGAACAACTGAACGGATCTTGATGAAATTTGTCATACATATAGAACATATAGACTACTAATTAAGATATGAATTAACAAATATCCTAATGTATAGAGCGACTATAGCACAGTGGTTAATCAGTTGACTTGCAATCAGCATGTCCTGTGTTGTAATCCCGTGATGTATGAATGTGTTACATTTACATATGTACATTTATCCTATGTTGTTACGGTGAAGGAAAACATCGTGATGCTGCACATATCTGACAAACTCAAACATATGTGTCAAGTCACATATTCTCACTTATAGACTCCGATACTCAGAGTGGGGACTTAGTGAGCTGATGATGAATGTCGTATTAAGTTTTTATTGTATTTGCTTTAAGGTACACACAACTATTTAATGTAACTGACCGTGCGAAGACTGGTTGGGTATCAGGTGCTCAAGCGAGGGCACTAATGCTGCAGTCAAGGTTACCTCAGCCAGCATTAGCCCAGATATGGGCATTAGCTGATCTGGACGCTGATGGAAAACTTGGTAAGTTCAGTGTTTATAACCTAAAAGTGTTCTTAACTTACTTATTTATGATAAATAATAAAAATTTACATAACTCAACAGATTTAATGACTAATTTATGAATCTTACTAATATTATAAATGAGAAAGTTTGGATGTATGGATGTTTGTTTGAATGTATCTCCGGAACGGCTCAATAGATTTTGATGAAATTTGTCGTACATATAGAACATAGCCTAAAAGAGACATGTCACTAAGTTTTTTTTTTTTATTCTAAGCAGACAGAGTCGCGGGCGACGGCTAGTAGAGTATAAAAGGGAATGTTTACATTTATGTTAGAAGGTATCTCCGGAAGGGGTTAACTGATCTTGATGAAATTTGTCATACATATAGAACATAGTCTGGAAGAACATATGGGCTACAAGTTTTTTTTTAATTCCATAATATTTTGGTCATAAAAGATGTCGTTATAACCGATGTTTTTGTTTCAGGTTGTGAAGAGTTTGTTCTAGCGATGTATTTATGTGAGAGAGCAACTCACGGTGATGCTGTACCAGCTAAGTTACCTCCTGAACTTATACCTCCCACCTTTAGGTAAGTTGTATACCTCCTTTCGATACGTTAAGTTATACTAGCTGTTGCCCGTGGCTCTGTCTGTGCGGATTTAAAAATAACTAGCGAGATACATCTTAACATTCGTATTCATAATATTAGTGAAATTAAAAATTTCTTTCTAATACAAAAGTAAAATGTTTTCATAAAAGACAATAACTTTAAAAGTAATAAATAGGAGGCATGTAAACATTGCTAATTTATATCAACAGGCGCTCTTATTTTGCTATTTAATACTAACAGGCGCTCTTATTTTGCTATTTTATACTAACAGGCGCTCTTATTGTGCTATTTTATACTAACAGGCGCTCTTATTTTGCTATTTTATACTAACAGGCGCTCTTATTGTGCTATTTTATACTAACAGGCGCTCTTATTTTGCTATTTTATATTAACAGGCGCTCTTATTTTGCTATTTTATATTACAAGGTGCTATTTACCCTTGCTATTTTTTATAAACAGACGCTATATAACTTTGCTATTTAAAATTACAAGGCAAAACGCCTTAGGATAGGATATATACATAGGATTTAAATTCTATTCTATTTTTTTAGACGCGAGTCAGTAACAAGCACCAGTAGTGCTAAGTCTTACGAAGAGAGAAGGAGGGAGAATATGGCAAGGGGACAGGCAGAGTTAGAGAGAAGGAGATCTCAATTAGCTGACGCTCATATGAAAGAGAAGGTAAGAATTGTTATTTAAAAAAATAGCAGTCTATGTGTTTTATGTATGCCAAATTTCATCAAGACAAGTATACATCTAAACATTCGCATTTATAATATTAGTAAGATTGACATTAATATTTTGATTAAGAAAGTTAACAATATTTATTTTCCAATGCAATCTAGGAGGATGAGGTAAATTTTAGATATTTAGAATGTAGCAAGGTTTAGAGGTAGTGTGTTTTCTATCTACAGCTAGTATATATAATAAATCTATATGTAAAATCTCATCATCATCATCATCAGCGAACCCTTTCCTGTCCTGTGCCAAGTTGTTCAACGCTGGCAATATTGGTCCATTCCCGGATGTTTCTTAGCCACGACTTTCTCCTCCTTCCAACTCGTCTTCTGCCTGCGATTTTGCCCATCACAATGAGCTGAAGAAGTTTCCCCCTTTGAATAGCTAAACTAATTCTTTGATTTTTTTTGTATTATAACAAAATTTTGACATGTTACGTAATTTTTTACATTTCATCAAATACATATGTAAAAGTTGAAATGCTATTAAATATAAAACAAAACAAACATTTCGACATACAAAGAAATTCTATCATATATATTTCTTTCGCGGATTATATATATGAAGCAATATGTAAATATATATATATATATATATATATATATATATATATATATATATATATATATATATATATATATATATATATATATATATATATATTAAAATGTAAAAAAATCCATGAACAATATATTTTAGGCTGAAAGAGAACGCAAGGAAAGAGAGGAAGCCGAGAAGAGAGAGAAGCTACGTCTAGAAGCACAAAAGAAGGAACAAGAAGAATTAATGAGGAAACAGAAAGAAGAACAGGTAGGCACCAAAAAAACTACCGAAAATTACCAAAATCTACCGAAGCCAACATACTTTAATTCCATTCCCCGTAGCATACTGTTAGTTCTTACCGTGGATTTCTGAGACCCACTATTAGTCTTTACTAATAATAATAAAATTGTAGGAGAAAAGAGAAGCAGCAAGGAAAGAGATGGAAAGACAATGTCAGTTGGAGTGGGAAAAGAAAAGGTATTTACTAAGTAAATAAATAACATAATTATAAACTAAACATCTTATAATTTATATTACAGTCGAACTTTGGATAAGCGAGAGATCTTTAAAAGCGAGAATCATTGTCCTACCTCCACTCCATAAGCGAGAAACTCTCGTTAGAGAGAAAACTCTATAAGCGAGAGTCATTGTTCGCTCTATAAGCGAGAAACCCGTCTTAGAAAGAAAACTCTATAAGCGAGAGACATTGCTTTTTACAAGCGTCAATAGCCTAATGGTTAAGGGTACGGATTTCCGATCGAGGTCGGGGGTTCGAATCCCGCCATTCGATTATTGTCGTAAACCATATCCTAGCACAAGCATAGAGCTTAGTTGGAATGGTTAAGGAAATATTAGTAAATTTAAAAAAACTGCTAATATTTTATTAAAAAAAAATGTTCGCTCCATAAGCGAGAAACTCGTGTAAGAGACAAAACTCTATAAGCGAGAAAAATATCTCAAGTGTCTTGAACTCTCACTTATCCTGATTTGATAGTGCTATCGAAATATAGTAAAAAAAATCTTTAATTTCAATCCAAAGTTAAAATTAACTCAACAGACTCAAACTCTATATATGGCAACCATTATATTTGACAATTTTGAATTATTTTATTGGTAAAAACGTAGCAAATATTAAAAACTTGTGTGAAAATGTACTTTATCGAAAATATTTTCTTATTTACCATTGTTAAAGATTTATATTGGACGCAAAGTTGTAGTTTTTAATATATCTTCCTTCCCCTAGGACTCGTGAGCTCGAAGCCTTAAGGGCGGATGAGCAGGCCAAGGTTTTAGCCCTTAAAGCCCGCAGTGCGACATTAACAGCGTCCTTAGGAGCGGCTGCACAGAGAGCCTCGACTTTAGCAAAGTCGATACGAGACACACGTACCAGTGTGGCTGCTGCAAAGTGTACGATTGATGGCATGAGGTGATATACCATTTCTTATCTTAATAACCATTTCATAGCTTTACTTACTAGCTGTTGTCCGCGACTTTATGTGTGGATTTTTTTTTGATAATATATGCCAGTGGTTCCCAAACTTTATTTGTCTACTGCCCACTTTGAGGATAAATATTTTTTTACCGTCCCCCATATTTTCACTTATTTAAAAATCACTATAACTTCAAATTAAATTAATTAATTATTGTGACCTATATATGTATATTAACAGAGAATTCTAAAGGAAACTAACTCTAAGTGGTATTTTTAAATCAGTTCAGTAGTTTCTGAGCCAAATACAAACAAATCTTTTCTCTTTATAGTATTAATAAAGATTGACAAAATGTAACCGCTCGGTATTTTTTGGTTAACACGTTAGCTGCCAGAATGATTTTTTATTTTTGTCCAAAACCATTTGAATGGGGCCTTGCGGGTCACGCTGTATACAACAATTCGATTAAAAGCCACAGCGAGGTGTTGAATGGAAGTATGGCTTGTCGGATACATAGACCGACATGGCGGCTAAAGTGTTAAGCAAATTGTAATCCGCTTTCAAAAAATATTTCTATTGTCTTACTGTTTTTTTTGTAATTCGGAGTCGCAGTCTACTGTTAGGGAATAAATCCAAGTGTTTAAAACAATGTAAACGTCTACAGGTCGGATCGTGACGCAAGTATGGCTGAAATGCAACAATTAAAAGCTAAAGTTAAAGAATTAAATGCGAAACAAATCGCTTTGAATAAAGAGAAAGCGGAGTTAGATGCTAAGGTAAGTTTTGAAAGATGTCAACAAAAACACTATATTTAAAAAAAAAACTCAACTTAACTATATCTCTTTAGAATACGAATCGAATGACACGACACTTGTTAAAATCTGTTCAATAGTTTAAACAAAGGAATTTACATACACACATACCTGCATATATATAAATCAGACATACATACACGCAAAAAACGTTACCCTCTTTGTCCGTCGGGTAAAAATATGTAGCTATCTCTTTTAAGGACTTAAGAAAACACAGATAGCAATTTTATCATGTAACATGTTCTTCTTTGATATGAAATTCTTCTCTTTAGGCTAAAGTGTCTGAAGGTTCGGGAGAAGATGGTAAATTAAATATGATGGAAGTTACATTGAAACAACTTAAAGATAAGGTAAGTAACTCTCTCTTTTATAAGTTTCCCTTTAAACCTAGTTTCTCGCTTGTGGAGTGGACAATGACTCTCTCTTCTATAGGCTTCTCTCTAACCCGAGTTTCTCGCTCATGAAGTTGACAATGACTTTCTCTTATATGGGTTTCTCTAACACGAGTTTCTCGCTTGTGGGGTGGACAATGACTCTCTTCTATAGGTTTCTCTCTAACCCGAGTTTCTCGCTCATGAAGTTGACAATGACTTTCTCTTATATGGGTTTCTCTAACACGAGTTTCTCGCTTGTGGGGTGGACAATGATTATTACAGAGGTTTCTCTTTAACAAGAGTTTCTCGCTTGTGGAGCGGACAATGAATCTCGCTTACAGAGTTTTCTCTCTAACCTGAGTTTCTCGCTTGTGGAGTGAATATTGACCCTCTTTTATAGAAGTATCTCGCTTATCTAGTTATATATTACGCGAAACAAAAACTATGTTATTAATTTTTAAAGATATTACGCAAACTTATGAAATTAATTTGACACTAAATAATAATGGATAGAAATTGTATAGATTTACTTTTAATTACATAAATTTTGGATTATGTTATGTGCGAACTCTTAATTTTTATATTCTTTAGGTGGAAGCAGCTAAAGCGTTAGTTGAGACTAAGAAATCTGATCTGGAAAGTAATCAGAAACAGCTGTCGGATTTGACAGACACTGTCACGCAGTTGGGTGACAAATGTGAGAGAGTATGGAAGATGTATGAAGAGAAGAGGAAAGAGTTTGTTGAGAAGAGAAGTACAGCGCCCGCTGAACAAGCCTGGACTGCTGGTGAGTTGTTAATTCTTTAGGTTTATAAAACCAGACAGAAGATTGGTAGCAAGTGGAAATCTTTTTTAAGTCATCTTTTTCCTAGTCTTATAAGGAAAGGATGGTAGGGGAATAGATTTGATGGAGGAAGGGACTCGTAGGAAGTGGAAATATTCTGTTTCTGTGCGTCTTCTCTGTAGATTAAAGGATAAAGAAGGATTTGCAATTGCGGATGTTTGTGACGGTCGCTTCGCTATTTCGGCGAATTTATGTGGCTACTTGCTAATTTGTCATTTTATTCTATACACAGAAAAGTAAAGAAGTTTTATGTATAAAGTAAGTTATACGTTAGGAATAATATCGCGTAATGGAACTAAGAGCGTCGGTGGCTCAGGGGTTGAAGCAGTTGACTTGCAATCAGCATGTCCTGTGTTGTAATCCCGTGATGTATGAATGTGTTACATTTACATATGTACATTTATCTTATGTTGTTACGGTGAAGGAAAACATCGTGATGCTGCACACATCTGACAAACTCAAACATATGTGTCAAGTCAACCCGCACTTGGCCAGCGTGGTTGACTATGGCCTAATCACCCTTAACTTAGGGTAGGCTCCGAGCCTGAGCTGATGATGTTTGAAGGAAACAATATCGTGTTTTAATTCGTTTTCAACGCCATCTAGAATTACTAGAGTAGACTATTCTAATATATTAGTATAATTATGTATAAAAAAACACAAAAAAACTTTATAACTTTAGAATTTTGTTTGTTCTCTCCGACTAGAAGGGTATTTTTCATTTTAAAGCCTTAGGTTTTAAGGGTTGATGGGGTACATTTTTTATTGTAGACGCAGAATGGGGTGCAAATGAAGATGCTTGGGGTGGTAATGAAGACGCGTGGGGTGACGCCGCCACTACTACTGGTAAGACAAACTTCACACAAACAACACAAATTGATATCGCGATTTATCTTGATTCTAACGCCATCTAGTGAAGGAAATTGCAAAACTACACGCAAAACTTTGTTTTTTTATAGTTAAGACTTCGTCTAATTAGACCTCTGTCTACCCCTCTGGATTACGGTGTTGTTATGCGTTATTTATAGATAAACTAGCTGTCGCCCGCGACTCTGTCCGTTTATTAAAAAAAACTCGATAACTAGTCTATGTGCTCTTCTAGACTATGTTCTACATCTATGACAAATTTTATCTAGATCCATACAGCAGTTCTGGAGATATCTTCAAACCTACATACATCCATACATTCGTATATTAGTAAGATTGTTTGTTCCCTTTAATATTCGAAACTAACAATAGGAAATTGTTTATTCTTTTTACAATTGAAAGACCAAGTTCTAAGGAAGGTTAGGTTATGTAACATCACGCTAAGCCATTTAGGAGTCAAACAGAAACAAAAATATAAGTGATGAGACGTAATTTTTCTATAGAGTTTTGATGCACACAAAAGTGCATGTGATTTAGAAAGAATTCCCTTTCCCACAATTTTCGTATAAGAGATGGATGTTATAGAAGAGAGATTTGGCAAAGAAAGGGAAGGGATAAGAAGGGAGAAGGACTTGTAGTCCTTTTCTCTGTCGTTTAAAGATAGACAAAGCGTCATCAATTGCGTTTATGATTTTGGCGAATTTATATTCAGATGTGTGCTTATATTTTTGCCGTATTAGAAAGTTTTTCTTCAGTTAGATCAGTCTTTCCCAAAGTGTGCGATAACGCCCCCTTGTGTGCGCTGCAGGTCTCAAGTTGCGGGTTATAGTAAAAGTTTCCTTTACAATTCTCCGTTAATATACATATATAGATCACAATAATTAGTTAATTTAATTTGAAGTTATAGTGGTTTTTAAATATGTGAAAATATGGGGGCGCTAAAAATATTTATTCTCAAAATGGGCAGTAGACAAAATAAGTTTGGGAACCACTGGTATAGATAAACAAATTATATTTTTATATAGCTACTGAAGCAGTATCTAGCTCAGCTCCACGTTGGAGGTGTGTCTATGAGTTTAACGCGAGAACAGCTGATGAATTAAGTCTGCAGCCTGGTGATTTGGTGAGTTGTATTTTCAATTTTATTACTATGAGCATAAGGTTCATATTTGTTTAATATTGTTTTGTCAAATTAATTACGATATTTATAAGATTTTGATCTTTATTTCTTTGTTAATAAAGTTTCTTTTATTTAAATTAAAATGTTGCGATGGATTTTTAACCTTCAGTCTATAGAAATAAGATTTCTTTATTTGTTAATTGAATTTTCAACTCTTTGGATATGAAAATAAGGTACATTTTTGTGTGCATTTCAGGTAAGTGAAGCAAACGCACCACGAGCTGACGCGGAACCTGGTTGGCGTTGGGGTACAGCTAGAGGTATGATAACTATTTGTCGGTTTAAAAACTGACTACTGACTGATTAGCTACTGACTACTAACTGACTATATCTACTGCTACTACTTAGAGTACCGACTAACCGATTGAATATACTGACTACGAAATACCAATACCGACTGACTATACTGTCTGTACCGACTAACGCTACTGATTGACTACTGGTATTTTACCGACTGACTAGTGACTGACTACCGACTTACTCGACTGACTGATTACCGACTGACTTCAATGACTACTAACTGATAGTACAGACTCAGAAGAGTAATGTTTTTGCTCGTATTTCTGTTTTTTTTATATGAGTTTGTCTTTATATAAATTACATTGTGTCCATTCTGACGAGTGAGGTGTCATTCTATTCGTATTCTTCCAAAGAGTGTCATGGAGGTTAAAATTGATAAATTTTTGGGGTTCCATACCTCGAAAGGTGAAAAACGGAACCCTTATAGGATCACTTTGCTGTCCGTATCTCTGTTAAGACCCTTTTTCTCTAAAACGCGTGATGGTATCAAGCTGGAATTTATAACAAATGTTCAGGTCTGCTGTCCCTTGGTGCTGCAATTAAGAGAAACAAAAATTTAAGCCGCATATTTTCAAATTACTCGCAAGGGAATCCAAACCTTTAAGGTACTTTCTTGACTCGCACAGCCGCGTTGTGGAACGGTCTGTTCTCGGCGGTATTTCCAAACCAATACGACTTAGGGACCTTCAAGAAGCGAGCATACCATTTCTTTAAAGGGCGGCAACTCATCTACAGTTCCTCTGGTGTTGCAAATGTCCATGGGTGTCGTTGAAAACCTCGGTATACCCGCAGCTAGTTTGCCCCCTTCTCTTATAAAAAAAAACTTCCGATTGACCAAGAATCTTAAAATTTTTCATTAAGCAATATTTTATATAATAGGACATATTAAAATAAAATTCCAAAAACCTTATTTAGTTATATCAATTTTTTTTTATTTTAACGACTGAATTGTCGTAATGGGTAAACAGGTTTTGCGGAACCCTTGTGGCGTAAGTCAACTCGCACTTGACCAGTTTTTTGGTACAATTGTACGCATATTAATTTCAGGTCAATCAGGTTGGTTCCCTGAATCTTATGTTGAAGATATTAACACAGCGATGTCGTATGTTGAACCAATGGATACCATGGAGACTAAGACACCTTTGGAAGGTACGTCTCTTAATTAACAAGCTAAGGCCCGCGACTTTGTTCGTAATTAAAAATTAGTAGCCTTTGTGTTCTTCCAGATTATGTTCAAATTTCAGCTAAATCTATGCAGTTGTTCTGGAGTTAAATTCTAACATACATCTAAACATTCGCATTTATAATATTAGTAAGATTATGTTTTATTTAAGCAGTTTTTTAGTATAAATAACACTTGAATCTACACTAAGGGATGCTTTATAACTCTGTGTGATATTAAATTTCTCGATAACCTTCTTAATTTTGGTAATTATGTACTTTATGTAATTTTTTGGTCCTTCGAGTCGGATAAAAAATTTAGTATGCATTTTTTAAATATATTTTTTTCTATATATGTAATGTACATAAGAGCTTATTTATTGTATTAGGTATAGTGGAAGTACCAGAAGCGGAAATAACAAATGATTTAGGAGGGGCTATGCCTATAGTTGGTAAGTTTGTAAATTTTTTTTGTCAGACTTTTATCTCGTATTTTATTTACTTTCAATCCAAAAATGTTTTATTACCTGATTTTTGTCATCTATTAGATTGGGTTTTTTTATGTATTTTTTGAAAAAAATTTTTTTTTGCAAAATCTACAATTATTTTTTTTCGTACTTTTTTGTAAAATTTGCATTTTAAGACTTAAATATAAGTTATCAATAAAAAAATCAATGAAAAGGATTTTTTTTCAAAAAAAAAACTAAAAAAATCCTATAAAAAAAAGAATAATATATTACACTAAACACACTAGGAGTAGAAATTCTTAATTCTATCTTCTAGAAGGAGGTGATTTTTATATCGCGGCATATCCATATGTATCCTCTGAGCCTGGTGACCTCACATTCGAAGCTGGTGAGAGAATAGAAGTACTAAGAAGAGATGGAGACTGGTGGACAGGCAGGATTGGGAACAGGTAAGAAGTTGAAAGTAAAAAAAAATCAGATAGGAATAAAAAAATAGCCCAAATTACTCCTTCACACATTAGCTATCTTCCAGTTAAAATCTAGACAAAAACGGTCTAACCGTTTCTGAGATTATCCAGAACAAACGCTTGCAAAATGACGAACAGACAAAAATTAAAAAAAAAATGGATTTTCGTTATAAGGAACCCAAAAATGTTGACGATATATGATTTTTCTTTTTTATTAATATGTGTAGAGTTGATAAAAGGTTGAAATTACATTTTTGTTTAAAATACTAGATAGAAATTATGAAGTACTAACTGTCGTTCGCGACTTGGTGCGTAAAAAAAACATAATTAGTAGTCTATGTGTTCTTCCAGACTATGTTCTATATGTATGACAAATTTCATTAAGATCCATGCAGCTGTTCTGAAGATATCTTCTAACATACATCTAAACATTCGCATTTATATTAGTAAGATATGAAATCTTCTGATTTAAAATTTAGGCCAAGATCTAGAACAAACTGGAACAAGATTTAGTTGATAGCTATTATTTTACTAACTAATCAAAGTTACTATGTAAGTTATGTATGTTTATTTTAGGAATGGCATCTTCCCATCTAATTATGTTACTAAAGATACGATATCGTCAAGTGAACCTATATCCACAATACCGGAGGCGGCTGAGCCCGCCCCCGAGACACAAGCCCCGCCCACTGTTGAAGCCCCGCCCGCTTCCGTCGCCCCGCCCACTGACACCACACCACCTGTCTCTGATGCTGACTTCGTACCTACATCTCCTCCTGTACAGGTCAGTCCTGTCTTAGAACTTGGAGGAACAGAAACTTAGTAATTAGCCTATGTTTTATTCCAGATTTTAATCTATACGTGTGTCAAATTTCAGCCTGATTAGTTCAGCCGTTTTGGAGTTATTTGCTAACAAACATCCATCTATTTAAAATATCATATTTGTAATAAAAACTAAATTAGTAGTCTATGTGTTCTTTCAGACTATGTTCCGTGCAGCCGTTTTGAAGATACTTTCTAAGAAAAATGTGTGTAAACTTCCAGGAGCAGAAGTCTTCCACCCCGATATCATCAGAGGTGGCGGCGATCACCGAGAGTGCGGGCGCTGCGCCCTCCCCCCGGCCCGCCTCCGTGACGCGCCGCGACTCGACGCGGGACTCCGGCCGCGACTCCGGCCGGGACTCCGTCACTGGACGCAAGAAGAACGAGATAGCACAAGCTATCGCATCTTATACTGCTACAAGGTAATCTTAATACTGTGTTTTAAAACATAAGTCCAAGTTCAAGGCATTAATTCTGACATTTTTTATATAATAGTTATTTTAGATATGCCTATTCAAACTATACGCCTTGAAGGATCGAAAGTCGCTGTTTTTTATCTTTACAGTGTGAACATTCCCAAAGGTGACAGGTTAGGTTTGTGACATGTACATAAAGATGACAGGTTGACAAAAATCTGACAGGTTATGTCTATGACAAGTGGTCCATACAGTGACAGGATAGACAGCGTTTAGTTTAATTTAATTCCCTAATGATATAGGTTTTTATTTGTTATTGTTATATTTTTACAAAAAATATATCCGCCTCGAAGGACTAAAATTACCAATTATATTATACATGTATGTATACATGCAGTGCGGAGCAGTTATCCCTGCAGAAGGGTCAGCTGCTGGTGGTTCGCAAGAAGGCAGACAGCGGCTGGTGGGAAGGGGAATTACAAGCCAAGGGAAGGAACCGACAGGTCGGCTGGTTTCCTGCCAGCTATGTCAAGGCAAGTTTACAATTAAAAGCCTAAATTTAATACGGCGGCCATGATATTTAAGATTTCTAGAAATTTTGTGAAAATTTAAGGTCATAATATGCAGTAATATAACTTTAGGTTTTTAAGATTATGATTCTCTGTATGAAACATATTGTCATCTATGTCATATTTGACAAATAAGATATGACAATATGTTTTAAATCGTGATTTTGATGTTAGAAACCCACGTTATGTCAGAAAAAGTGTCTTAGACATAATATTTTGGAAATCTATTGGAATCCAGTATAGTCAATTAGGTCATAAAATCTTTTAAAAAAAGACTAATAAAGAGGTCATTCGATTCCTATTCCTCTAAGTGACAATTAGTTTTTTTTTTAATTACAAATAATCCATTTTCTCCAGATTCTTCAATCATCGGGGAGAACATCAGGACGCACCACACCTGTGTTATCCAAAATGGATACAGTACCATCAGAGACTGTCATAGACAAGGTGATAGCTCTATATCCATACACAGCACAGAATGCTGATGAATTGAGCTTCGAGAAGGATGACATTATTGCTGTCACTGACAGGAGCCAGGATCCCGCGTGGTGGCAAGGTAAGGCACAAACATGACATAGGTGACGTGTTGTTTCAGTAAGTAGACAAATAGACGACAGGTTGTTTTGTTAACTAGTGACATATAGATGACAGGATGTTATCGCAACTCGAAACCCATAAGTGACAGGTTGCTATAGATTTCTTATTTTCCTTTTGGAAAAGACACAAACGTGACAAGTTGTTTTTGTAACAAATGAAACATATATGACAGGTTGTTTTGTTAACTAGCGTCACATAGTTATGATATTATCTTAGTAGGAAAATACTTGTTAAATATTAAATAGTTTTAAAGTTAGTGTGTCATACAAAAATGACAAAATATAATTCTATATTAATTGTGTCCAAATAAATATTTAAATAAAGCGCCAATAGTGTAATGGTTAAATGTACGGATTTCCGATGTATTGAAGAGTTCGAATACTCGATATTAAACTCGTACACCATATTACACAGAGCTACAGCTTAGTTGGAAATGTATAAAAAAAACTATAAACAAAAACTATTTGATTCATTCTTCATTCTATGTGAAATTGTTAAATAATTAGGAAATAATTGTCTTCCAGGTGAACTCCGCGGTATGACTGGGTTATTTCCAAGCAACTATGTCACCAAACTTGTTAATTAATTACATATGTACCATAGTTCAATCATCTTCATACTAATAATAGAACATATGACACTATATCAAACACATTTTTGATGTTAGAACTTCACAATTGCTTACATTTTTATCAAATTACGATTAAATATATAAAAGTTATAGATAAGGGTTCGTTAACACTAACCTGAATGTTTCCACAACAGATTTTAATTAAGTTATACAAAAACGAGGCTTAATTTTACTTTACAAGTCTTTTTTTTAATAAAAACAACTTTAAAATAAACGTGAAAAGTAAAAAAAAACAATTTCAATTTGATAAAGCTCAAAGCTCTCCGCACTTGTGTGAACGGACCCTAATAATGCTTTTACTATTAGCTTCATACTAAAACATTATTATTTTAGTAATAATAGTCTAAAATGTTACATGTTTTTCACAAAAAAAAACTATAAAATTAAAAAAACAAAGTAAAAAATCTTGTAGTTGACTTAGAAAAATGTCTATCACTAAATTAAACAATAATTTATGTTAAAATTAGTGAATTACATTAACATTTCTTAATAAAAAACACTTTTCATCACAATTCAATTAACACATGTTGGTTAATAATAAATAAAAATCAAACATACAAGATTCCTTAATTTTAAGTTTTATCCTTATAAATGAATCAAAACATTAGTCGTGTTGAAAATATATTAACTCATTCCATTTATTTATTAAATAAAATACTGTAATTAATTGTATTACCAAAAAAAATGTTTTAAAAATCATCGACTAGTTTATTGTCATTTTCTCTGTAGTCTTGTTGAAATAGTCGAATATTATGTCGTGTAATCTTGCTTGTAGGAATAAATGTTGAGCTCAAATATTATTGTTTTATTTCTACCTATAACTTTAATTTCACCTTGACTACTATTCCACGATGGAAGTTTATAACTAAAATAAAATAAAATATCAAAGAAATTTCTGTATAGCAATTAATTTAACTTAAAGAAATATAGTACAAATAGTTTAAACACATATAAATCATCGATATAATCGTTCACTTTACGCGCGAATTTGCACAAATTTTGTCTGACGTTACGAATACGCTTTCACGAATATTCGTGTTTCATGTAAACTTTAAATTATTGCCTTCTTTAAAAATAAAATTGATGATTAAGCAACACTAGAAGAACAAAAAATATGGCTTAAAAACAGTCCATTAATTTAGTTAAAAACCACAAAAAATTGTACATTTTTAAACGAAACAGGTTAAATTAGAATGTCCAAAGTTTTGAGGACGATGTGAAAATGAAACGTTGCAGTATTTTTAATCTACAATGGGATAGGGTTGCACCCTCACGCTTTGTTTCAACTCAATGTTTACACCGATTTTTAAATATCGATTTAAGCCAAATATTACAAAAAAAAATATTGAACCCATAATCATCCCCTGGAGAGATTAAAATTTTATTTTGCCTATCGTAATAGTAATTTAATAATTAATCAACAGTGAAAGGTTACATTACGTAAAAATGTAATATGTTTCAGGCGTATTTCCCGATATTACCAACAACGTTAAATAAAAAAAAAACCTTTTAAGAAATAACAAAATAATTTTACAAATATTTATATAAATTCTCGATAAACTAACAAAATATGCAAAGTGTTTTTTTTATAACAGAATTAATGACGTATTTGAAAAGACATCGATTAATTCGTATTGTTAAATCGATATTATCTGACAACACTAGCTAAAACTTCATAAGTCAAATCATCAATGGCGGACATTCGCTGTCGCCTAGATAAAATAATTTAGCACGCGAATTATTTACATAACAACATATAACCTGCATGCAAACGTATCAAAATCATATAAAAGATAAAATTTGTTTCGATCAAAATGTCGACAGTCGTATCTGACTGTTTCACCATCGGGAGTATTGTAGCCACTAAAACATGTTATAATGAAGAAATCGAAGGAGAAGTGTTGGCTTTTGATCCTCAAACGAAGATGTTAATATTAAAATGTCCATCATCCAGCGGTAATCCAAAGAGGCATGATGTTAATATTGTTAATTTATCGCTGGTCAGCGATGTGCAAATCAAAAAGGAGGTAACAACTGTTCCGGAACCACCACAGTCGTTAAATCTTCATAGATTGAATACAAGAGTACGGAATTCCATAGAAAATAAACGGAGACTTGTAAGTAATTATTGCTATAAATATTTTAATTTAGTTGTCATTAATTTACTATAATAGAGCCATTTTGAAAACATTATTTTTACACTGTAATAATTTCTCAAACATTGAGCAACAATGAAATTCTGTGACTATATACTTTATTCTTTATCACACTACATTTATCACTTCAACTTACAAGTTTAAGTGTATTTTATGCTAAAGATGATTAAATAATAACATCATTCACAATAAGTTACTATAATTATGGAAATCAATGCTAAATAAAAGCTCTTTTGAGAGTTTCATACAATACTAGCTGTCGCCCGTCCGCGAGGATATGTAAAAAATTTAATAACTTAAGTTAAAGCAGCTCTTCAAGGCATAAATTCGAAAATAAAAAAATAAAAAATAATAAATAGTATCCTATGTCCGTCTCCTGGCTCTAAGCTACCTCCCCTCCAATTTTCAGGCATATCGGTAAAGACATTCTTGAGTTATAAATAGTGTAACTAACACCACTTTCTTTTATATATATAGATTTATATTAAAACTTTGTCTAGACATAAACTTAGATTAATTCTTCATCATATTTTCCTAGTCAATTGCAACTAGAGTAGGCTAAAGAACCTAGAGTATGGATGTTTATTACTTAACAACTTTCATTCCTTCTTAGAGTACTGTACCTCAAAAGGAAAAATCCGAACCCTTATATGAACACTTTGTTCATCCGTCTGTTTTTAGTTAAATACAAGATTTTTATTCATTTACTAATATTTCTTGTACAATTCTAATTAAGCTGTAGACTTGTGCTAAAATATAGTTTACGAGCGTCGGTGGCTCAGTGGTCAAGCACTTGACTTGCAATGTGGTCTTGGGTTCGAATCCCGCCATGTACCAATGTGTTTCCGATTTACATATGTACATTTATTCTTACGGTGAAGGAAAACATCGTGATGCAACCTGCACATATCTGAGAAGAAATTCAATGATATGTGTGAAGTCAAACCGCACTTGGCCAGCGTGGTTGACTATGGCCTAATCACCCTTAACTTAGGGTAGGCTCCAAGCCCCTCGGTAGGGACGTATAGTGAGCTGTTGATGATGATGATAGTTTACGAGTTTAATGTTGGGATGCGAACTCTTAACCACATGATCGGAAATCTGTACCCATAATTATTTTTTTTATTAAAAATATCTTTGTGCACTTGTTAAATTTAATAGTGTTCAATTTCTAGTTCATTGAGTTTCATAATTACTCTAAAATAAAGTGCAAATTGGTTACTAAACCTTTTTAAAATATTTCAGGTGTCCGCACTATCGGCTTGCTTGGATCCTGAAGGTCAGCGGCTTTTCTTAGCTATCGCGCGGGTGATTGATGACGTATCCTGGGCGGGACAGAGCATCCGTGTCTATAACGAGGTCACCATCACACCACCATACAAAGTACGTATATTCTGCTTGGACATACAAATGTTACTATATCTTACTAATATTATAAATGCGAATGTTTAGATGGATAGATGTTTGTTTGAAGGTATGTCCGGAAAGGCCTAACAGAATTTGATGACATTTTGGTATAGTCTGGAAGAACTTATCGGCTGTTATTAAGTTATTTTTAATTCCGCGCGGACGAACTCGCGGGCTCGCGCAACTCGCAAATTCATATAATGCAAATGTATAGCTTTACTATGTTCTACATCTATGTCAAATTTCAGCAAGTTCCGTTCATTCGTTCTGGAGATACTTTCTAACAAACATTCATGTTTATAATATTAGTAAGATTAAAACTGCTTCCGTAACTATTGGTCAGTTATTTGGATCTTTGGTCACATTTTAGTGGCAAAAGAATAAGTGGCCACCTCTTCTTCCTGGTCTTATCCCACTCTTTTTGGGTTGGCGCACAAGGTTTTTATAAACCTTAAGGTCTTATTAGTTTACGAGTAAGCGGCCACCTGATATAACCAAAATAGCAAAGCAACCCTAGCATATAGATATCTCCAACAAATTGTTGTGTTGCCAACTTTAAATAGAAGGGATGTACAAAAAGAGGATATTCCACATACCTTCATGCCTCCCTTGTCCCTCGACAAGGGGACGATACCCTCACAATAGACTAGATTAAGGCCTCCGGCAACCACAATCTACAATCTGTCATTTGGTACTCCCTTAATCTCTGTGTGTTTCTGAGACTAAAATCTCTTTTAAACATATTGTCAAGCCTGTCATTATCTTTGACAATGTAGAATTAACATTTTAAATGGGTATATTGGTCTAGTAAGTTCTGCAGTGCCCGTGATAGTTGTCAGAATTTGTGTTAATTCTCTTTCTCTTATATTCTTGTGCTACTCTCCTTAGTTGTGGATGTGTTAAATTGTGTTGTGAAAATAACTAGCCTTTTTTCTCCTGTTACCGTACTCATGATACACGCAAGAATTGTCCCGGCTCGCCCGGTGAAATACCACGACCACACAGAAGACAGGCGTCAAGTGGAAGCAATTCCAACTACAGCCTGATGAGACTCTTTCCCTTCCCATCCTTTTTCTTATAAGGAAAGGATGGGAAGTGGAAGTGGACTTTCCGGATGAGAGGATGCATGGAAAAGGAAGATATTTTCTTTCTGTGCATCCTCTCCTCCGTTGATTAAAGGTAGGTAACGCATATGCAATTGCGTATGTCTATGGGCAACGGTCGCTTCGCTTCAGCGATTTCAGGTGACCGCTTGCTCGTTTGCCACCTTATGATATAAAAAAAAACATTGTCACCGACTCATACACCTTACTGTTGTTTAAAAAATCATTTTTAGTTGCAGTTGTTTTCTTTATATATTGTTTTATTTACAGGTAGAGAATGTGATAGGTGAACAAGATTCTAAACCATATAATTATATAAGAAAGTTTGTTGAAAGACATTGGAAGGATTATCGTGAACATGCAGCAGCATCCAACTCTCACCAGCAATAGATATACCTACATATATATATAAATATTATATATCAGTTTTGGGGTTATTCAAACGTAAAAAAAACCGTTGCCGAATGGTCAATACATGTCAGATATTTTTTTTTTTTTTTAGTAAATATTTTCAGCATTACCATGTGTCTTTTGTCAAATTTAATGTTTTGTTTGTTTCTCGTATTTAAATCATTTTTGTTTGCCCCAAACTTGTCAGGATTTTTTTTTAAATAGTAACCACCAAAAATCATTGTTTCAAAGTTCTTTTAAATATGTTATTTATGAAACAATATTGTCTATGAAATCGTCAATTTCAGAATATAAAAACGTATGAATTGTTTAATTAAAAAAGCTATTTACCCTTAAATCTTGTTACTTTTCTGTATGTCGTAAAATTTCTCGTATGTTTTTTGGTGTTGCCATGATTGTAACTTTCTTAGTTTCTCTTTTTAGTTTTTCGGTATGGCAACTTTGAGGATAAAATTTCAAGTTATTATTTTCTATTTGTAGTATATATGGGATACTATTTATATAACGTTGGATTAAGTAACGGAAAGAAAATATTAAAAAAAAAAACTTAAAAATCTTGTTATTTTGTGTTTTATTTATCAACCTAATAATTTTGCGTAAACGAACAGGCAAACTGAATTCGGCGAAACGGCGAAGCGACTGGTAACCATAGACATCGGCAATTGCAGATGCCTTGCCTAACTTTAATCGATTGAAGAGACGCACATGAGGACATTTCCCCTTTCTATGCGTCACCTTTTCCTCATAAAAAGGATAAGGGAAACAAGTAAAATAAGGTCTCCGGGACGCACACTAATCAAACGAAACCAGGAATCGCTTCCACTTTACGCCTGTCGTGAGTGGTCGACCCTTTGACCTCTATATAATAAGACAAGCTTCTCTTAACTGGTAAGAGGTGCAGAAAATATGTTAAACCAACTTATATAGATATTGACATAAAAACATGACACTACAAAAAAATCTTGACACTTTGACAGGTGACTGCTGTCATAATTTAGTTTGAATTATCCCCAGTCAGGTAACTTTGTCGGTTCATATTCAGTTTGCACGACTTATCGTTTGGTTTCTGAGACAAAAATCTGTACATAAAACATAGCATGTCTGTCATAGTCTCTGATAACACAGATGCATGTTTTGATGGAGATTTTAAGCTCAGAAACACTGACATTAAATTATGGTTACTTGGATGAAAAGCAGTTAGGTATTCAAATAAAACGAATATTTGATAAAAATGCGTATTTATTCTTAAAAGCCTTACAGTAAATGGTTACATTGGAGATAATAAACACAGAATGTCGGAGATGACAATAAAAGTCGTATATTGAACGTCATATTATTTTATCAAAGAAAAAACTTACAAATTGTATGAATTTTGACAAAGTTTTAAATATCAGTAGGACGGAAATTTAAACCGAAAATTCGTCAAAAACCAAAGAAAAATTATTTTACACTATATTTCAAGGACATACACATTTATGTCACCTTCCGACATTGTATAAATCGTCACAGAAATCGTTTCCAAAAGTGAAATACACAATTTGTTAACAACACAAACTTTAAGAAAAATAATTTTATAATAACCAAAAAAACACTTATTATTTTACTTGTATTTAGTTATAATTATAAATTTAATTCAAGATATCTTTTCTAATAGAACATAAAGAATAAAACATAAAATAATTAGTTTAGTGAATAAAAAAATTACGATAACACCAAATTAAAATTGACATTTTCGAAACGATTCCCGCCACGTAACCAAAACAGATTAAAAAAAATCTAGCGAACTTAAAAAAAAAAACAAAATCCGTATCACTTACCCGATATATATTAAACAAAATTAAACTTAACAACTAAATCCTATTACGTGTAAACAAAATTAAAAAACCAATTTTTTAGGTTATAAATAAACATTTTTGAATTTATAAATTACACAAAAGACAAGACATAATCCGACAAGAATCTTGTGACAGGCTGAATGGCGATGAACTGTCATAATTTAGTTAGACAAAATGCATTCGCTACGAAGCGACTCCATAACGAACTTTAAAAATGTATAAAACTGACAAGACAAGACTTTCGATAAGACACGTGATTGTTGTGCGTCAGTTCCATACTCTCTAGTGACTCTATAGTGAATGCACTTTGTAACTCCCATGATCAAATAAGTTTGTCGGTTTATATAAAATCGAATGAATATTGATAATCCAACAAACATCTACAATTTTAGAATATTTTAAAAAGTATAAAAATACCTTAGCTATTTTTTAATTTCGAAATTTATCAATAATATTACTTTCAATGGAAGTTTAGTAGAAGTTTTTAAATAAGAGATTAATTTTAAAGTATTTTGCAAGGAAATATAGTTTATTTTTTTATTTATTTTATGCGCCAAGCAATGCCATATACGACTTTACAAACCATTACGTTTTTTTCAGTAAAATAAAGCATAAAAATGTGCCAAATTTTCCCACCAATTCATATTAAAAAAAAATTGTAATTCCGTCAAAATACAAAAATTACCAATTTAAATGCATTTCTTTTATAAATTTATCTTTACACTTCATTTTTAAACCGAAAACTCTATAAATTAAAAATCAAATTTTAAAACGTTTCCGTTGTTAGTTACGTAGTCACCGTGACCTTGACAAAAAATGGCATCACTAAAGGCGTATTAACTTTGAGCAATATTAAATATGTATCTGAAAGCTACAAGTGCCCAAATGCTATATAAAAATGGATGACGAAATACAAAAAAACTACTTCTCATATTTATTTGAATATAATTACGTATTAAAAAGAGAATTGGATTAAATTAATTTCATATAAAAACGTTTACTTACGTTTGAAATTTGACGAGTATAGTACGAAACAAATTATCAACAAACCGTTTGTTTTAAACCTCCTTATCGATTTATTTTTCAATTATGTTTATTATATTCAAATAAAATACAAGATTCTACTTTACATATCAAAACTAACTCCTACTAAAGACGATCGTAAACCTTAACGGCTACAAAATATTCAGTGTCCACACAAAAAAAAAACCGCCAATAACAAAGTGACAGATTGACTTTTTAAGGCAAAGATCATTTGACATTCAGCCACTGACAATTTGTTTTTTTTAATAAAAGATTATTTTTTAAAATTTAAATAACACAAAGCCAGATATTTATTTTTAAAAGTTATATTTAGATAAGGAAATACCAAAAAGGTTTTATTTAAAATTTTAGTCACTTAGTTATTAAGAGATTTATTGTGTATATGAGAAATTGTACTTTAGTTATTGTGCAATATAGATTTATTTATATAAATATTAAATTAAATTCTATCACGCCATTATTTATCACATATTTTGGTGCTATTATTTTTCAAACCATAGACAAAGATTACAGATAAAAAATATATGGCAAATAGACTATAAATAAAACCAATTAACGACCTAAATTAATATTCGATTTCGTAACATTTTTTGCTTTTTAAATCGATTTAAATGTTGCCATATCATCCAAAAAAGCAATTTTTTTTTAATAATCGAAAAAAAAATCAAATATTAATTTAGCTCGTTATATTTCTAATAAAACTTATAATAATGCGATATTCGATATTAAAACAATATTAATGAGTTTTTTTTTAATCTAGCAGAGTCCTGTAAGCGATTCCAATCTTTATATCAATAGCCGTAAGGTGCAAGATCTCTTCGGAACCTTATTTTCTCAAACTTTCAGTCTTTTTGAACTCTAGTTCAGAATTATAAGTCTAGGAGGAAGGATACCTCTCTTGCTGAGCCAAACTCTGGAATATATTTGAAAATTATAAAAAAAAATCAAATATCGTCAAACCTTCCTAAGCGAGAAAAAAACGGTTCTTTGGACTATCGTTTATCCAGATTTGACTTTATATTTAGATTTGATTTTAGGATGGACAAAATGTTTTTGGTGAAAAGCAATTTTGTTTTTATGAGTCATTGTCGGAGGGTCTATGGCTCAGGGGTTTCAACACTTGACTTGTAACCTGCAGGTCCTGGGTTCGAATCCCGCCATGTACCAATGTTTTTCGATTTCCGATTTACATATGTACATTTATCCTATGTTGTTACGGTGAAGGAAAACATCGTGATGCTGCACATATCTGACAAACTCAAACATATGTGTCAAGTCTTGTACTGGAACAGCATTCACTATCACATACTCTCACTTAGGTTTGACTCTGAGACCTTCAGTGGAGACCTATAGTGAGCTGATGATATTAAAAGAAATAGAAAACATGTCGTTATCGTGTTCTATATTGTGTTGTGGCGCCATCTATTATCAAAACTCACCCGATGCCGGCTCCGAGCAACAGAGACACAATATTTGTGACCAGTACAGCAGCGATAGCGCCGCGACTGAACAGACAAGTGCGACGTACAGACAGACAGTGACTCTGGAATATATACATATATATCTTACTAATACTATAAATGCAAATGTTTTAATGTATGTTAGAATGTATCTCCAAAACAGCTGAACAGATCACGCTGAAATTTGTCATAAATATAAAACATAGTCTGGAAATTAAGTTTTTTTTTTAATTTGCAAAGCCGGAGTCGCGGGAGACAGCTAGTATACTACAAAGAGAATCTAGAATCTTACATTTGTATGTTTAAAAATATTCATGTTTTTCGTACAATTTTTCGAAAATTTAAAAGAGAGAGGTATTCACCTGCTGCATGACAGGTGCTACCAGCTGCTGCTCCAGAACCTCAATGGAGGAGGTGGCTGATGGTGGTCCACGTGCGCTCTGAGGATGCTTGAAGCGCCAATCCCTGAAATCGACATAGCAAAAACATTTTTTTTCACCCCCAAGTGCTAAAATACTTCAACTTGTAGACTTTACCCTATCGTATACCCCTATATTTAACCCCAGGGGGTATTCTTATCTTACTTACTTTGGTGGCAACTGGTCTGGTCTGCTGCTCCATTCCCAAACCCAATCGTTCGAGTCATCCTGAAATTAATAAGTTATATATTTAGTAGCATAATATTAAAAATTAATACCAAATAGAAAAAACTTAATAGTCTGTGAAAACAAATTTAACTATATATAGCTCTCCTTTGCTCCACATGCGTTTATATCTTCCTTCTCTTTCTTGTAACAAAATGTACGCAAACGTGACGCGTCCTTGAAATCTTACTAATATTATAAATGCGAATGTTTGGATGGATGTTTGTTAGGCTGCATGGATATTGTGGAAATTTGGCATAGATGTAGAACATCTGGAAGAACACGTAGGCTACTTATTAAGTTTTTTTTTAAATACCACGCGGACAAAGTGGCGGGCAACAGCTAGTAAATAATACATTCAGTATCAAACAATAGACTACAGTATATTCCTGAATTAACTTCATATAATGCATACATCGCTCTCTTTCGCTCTACATGCATTTATATCTTCCTTCTCTCTCTTGTAACGAAATATACGCAAAGAAGTCCGCGTCCTTGAAAAATGTAAAAGTGAATCTTAGTCGTTTAAACATAAGACATAACAAATATCGTTATCCTCTTCACTCCCTTTTTAAATAACAGAGATAAATATATTATTGTTCTTTCTAAAAACTCAGTTTATTAGTACAACTTACCCTCCAGCAATTAATGTAGACGCCCTTAAGTTCGTCTTCCGTAGACGGTTCCAAGTTGGGACTGTTGGGAGGTGACTTCGGGCTGCGAAAAATAAGAACAATAAGTACAACCCGAGTGCTATAACGGTACGACGGTACTTTAAAGCGGTTAATTAGAAACTTAACATTTATTAATATTATAAATATGAATGTTTAGATGTATGACAGCCACACAGAAGACAGGCATCAAGTGGAAGCAATTCCGCGTTTCGTCTGATGAGTATGCGTCCCGGAGGCCTTATTTAGTCCTCTTTCCCTTCCCACCCTTTTTCTTATAAGGAAAGGATGGGAAGTGGAAGTGGACTTTCCGGATGAAATGATGAATGGAAATATTTCTTTCTGTGCATCCTCCCCTCCGTCGATTAAAGGTAGGCAGCGCATATGCAATTGCGTATGTCTATGGGCAACGGTCACTTCGCTATTTCAGCGATTTCAAGTGGCCGCTCGCTCGTTTGCCACCTTATGATATAAAAAAATGTTTGTCAAAAGATATCTCCAGAACTGCTGCATGAATCTCGCTGAAATTTGACACACATATAGAACATAGTCTGTAAGAACGCATAGACTCCTAAGTTTTTTAGTTCCGCGCGGACGGAGTCGCGGGCAACCGCTAGTGAATTACAACAATCCATTTATATTACTCAACATTATCTCCAATACAAATGTTTACGTATACTTTGAAAGGACAATACAACCTTTTTTTGTAATTATAAAAAAATAACACAATGCAACAAAAAAAGGGCCTTCGCATCAAATATTTGTAGTTTCATGAACTTAAGGAATGGATATCTGCCGTAAAAATGTTTTCAAACAAGTACATTGACAATGGAAACATAGCACAGTTAGTACATACTTATGACCACAAAATAACTTTATCTACTGACCCATATTGTATTAATCACTTAGTCTAGAATTACCAAGGTCACAAATGTGTTAGGGTCATCAAAAACTAATCTTACTAATATTATAAATGCGTATGTTTAGATGGATGGAATGTATCTCAGGAGCGACTGAACCGATCTCTCTGTAATTTGGCATCGTCTGGAAAAACACATAAGCTGCTAAACTGATATATAAACACGGCTAAACTTAACTATATAAACACTCACGTATATCACGGCCCGTCGCTCACTACGTGTCCGCGAGATAATACCAGTACCACTCATCCTGATGAAGGGCCCCCGATAGGCTCGAAACTAGTCGGTGCTGCCACCGGACGAATATACGTGAGTGTTTAGCCGTGTTTATATATCAATTTAGTATAATGTCTCACGAAAGTTTGAATAATTACATAAGCTACTAATTAAGTTTTTTTTTAACTCCGCGTAGACATAGTCACGGGCGACAGCTAGTAATTTCATAAAAAAGTCGGACTCGGCCCTAGGCCTCGGCCTGGCGAAATTAAATTTCGAGCGGACAGCTAAGCTTTCTATGAAATTATTTACTTTTTTACCTTTATATATAGAATGCGACTAACCATTACTATCTACCAATTATATACTACCTACTATTTACCAATTAACTACTAACTTAATTTTTTTTAACTTTGCAACTGGCAACCCTAAGCATCGTTACGGTTCCAGGTTTTAAGCTCAAGGTTAACACTTGATATCTATTACAATAGGTTTTTGTTTTAACAATATTAAGTTACATACAGACTGTATAAAACATATCAAATAATTACAAAAACTGCCTTATTTATTATGAACATAACAATGCGATAAAGTTATCTTGGGCTTTAGACAAAGTGCATGAACTTCGAAGCGATTCCATAACGGAATTTCAAAAAAAAAAAAACTGACGCTAAAGTTACTGTCTCGATGAGAGGCGCTGCTATCGCGCTTGTCATAAACCTTCTTATGAATTTCTGAGACTAAAATCCCGGTTTATAACAAAGTTATTTTAAATCAAAGATACAGGGAAGACGATTTATTTTAAATAGAGATTTTGCCGTCAGAAACCCACGGTAAGGCATAAAAAATTACATAAAAGAAATTAACATGATAAAATAATACTTTTTGAACATAGTCAGGAGGGCGCTAGTGTGCTATGACAATTTAGTTTGACTTATTCCCACCTGGTCAGATACTTTTCTTAGTTTTTTTAAAGACACCAGTCTGGAAAGAATGCAACCCGTCTAGCCAGTTTGGCGGTCACTAAAAATAGATTACAATAAGTTTATGTCCTCCTAGTATCATGGAGTATTTAAAAATATGTTTTTAGGGTTCCGTACCTCATAGGAAAAAAACGTAACTCTTATAGGATCACTTTCTTGTCCGTTCGTCTTTCTCGTTCGTTCTGTCAAGACAATTAACACGTTTTCTTCAAGTTATGCGACCATTAGAGGCCAATTATTATAAATGGATAGGCGATAGCTTGAAAATGCAACCTTTGGTTTCATTCCTTAAAACACGCCTATTGAAATTACGTGACAATTAATTCTACCCATTTAGTTCGCATCCTAACTACCGCTACAAACCGATACCACCAACGCCAAAATGGCGAAAAACAAATAAGCACGAAATACTATGACTTACAAGCCTATCCAAATAACGTCAGTGATTCAAGGTCAAATGGCGAAGCAAATGAGGGACAAAACGTATACGCTCTAAGAGACGGAATTTATATAGCTGTACCGCTCACTCCTGAATAAATTACTATAAGTATCTCTCGCTTGCACATTTAAAATGGCGGAGAATTACGTCTCTGGTTCCCTGTGTGTGCATTTCTAGAAGTTAGTGACCAGGAGTACATAACTACTTAATGACTAACCTGCCCTTAACACTGGAGGCTCTAGAGTGACGCACCGAGGAGTCCCGACTCTCTCGTTGAGCTTCTCTTAACAAACGTATATATTCATTTTCCATCGCAGCCAATCCACCGCCAGAGTTCAATTCAACCCAGGATTCTGTAAGAGAAACGGACAGATATGAATAGCTTTCGACCACAATTCAAAGCGCCGATGACTTGAGGGTTAAGCAAGTCTTGTGTTTAAATCCCGTCATGTATGAATGTGTTACATTTACATATGTACATTTATCCTATGTTGTTACGGTGAAGGAAAACATCGTGATGCTGCACATATCTGACAAACTCAAACATATGTGTCAAGTCTTGCACTGGACCAGCATTCACTATCAGATACTCTCACTTAACGTAGGCTCCGAGCTCCTCAGTGGGGATTTATAGTGAGCTAATGATGACGAAAAAACCTTATTAGTCTATGTGTTCTTCCATATTATGTTCTACATCTATGTCAAATTTCTATTATACGAGATCCATGCAGCCGTTGTGGAGATACCTTCTAACAAACATCCATCCATTATTATCTCTGCCCATACCTAACACGTAGTCACGGTTATATCATATCGGTTATATAGTTGTGTTACAAAAATAAACCGACCGACACAAAATAACGGATTTCCGGTAGGAGATTTATATCTGTCGCTGATAGATTATAAATTTCGTCAATTTCAAACTTAACTACTTTAAAAAAAATTACAAATAATTGAATGCAATAATTTTACCAAATTTAGCGTTTTTCATTAGACAATTCATAAAAGGTCTTAGTTAAAATGTTAAATAATATACAACTTTAGTTAAACTGTTTAAAATAGCTTAAAATACTAATATAAAATAAATCTTAATAATATTATAAATGCGAATGTTTAGATGTATACTTGTTAGAAGATATCTCCAGAACAGCTGCATGGATGTCACTGAAATTCGTCATAGATGTAGAACATAATCTGGAAGAACACATAGGATACTAAAGTTTGTTTTAATTCCGCGATCTAATCCGATAAAAGTTGCATTGCAAGTAACCGTCAAATTGTGAAATATAATAATAAAAATGACATCAAATAATATGACTCATCATCATCAGCTCACTACATGTCCCCACCGAGGGGCTCGGAGCCTACCCTAACTTAAGGGTGATTAGGTATAGTAGCCCATATATAGGCCATAGTCAGCCACGCTGGCCAAGTGCGGGTTGACTTCACACATATGTTTGAGTTTGTCAGATATGTGCAGCATCACGATGTTTTCCTTCACCGTAACAACATAGGATAAATGTACATATGTAAATGTAACACATTCATACATCACGGGATTACAACACAGGGCATGCAGATTGCAAGTCGAGTGCTTGACCCCTGAGCCACCGACGCTCTTAAATAAATGACTAGATAGTAGATAATATGACTAGATAGTATTTAAAACGTCTATATTTATAACGTGACGGTGACATAACAAACATATTCACAATACAACCATCGCATGCCAAGGAATTCATTATTCATATAATACCAGATGTACAGACATCATTACATACTTAGTCATAAATATAATAACAATAAAAATATGTTTTTATATCGACAAAGATATAGTGAACAACTCCGTACACGTAGAATTAAAAAAAAAACTTGGTAGTCTATGTGTTCTTCCACTATGATACATTCTAACAAACATCCAAACATTCGCATTTATAATATTAGTAAGATAAATACGGCTTAACTGACGTGTTTTTCAGTCTAGGTGCAGATCAATTTCAGACTTGTCTCCGGCTATTTTTGTTTTAAACAATTTATAAAAAATCATTAATCATTTTGAAATAAAATATGACAAAAGTCGTTGCTACGACAGTCTACAGATTACTTTATATCTTACTAATATTATAAATGCGCATGTATTAATGGATGTTTATTTGAAGATATCTACAGAACGGCTAAACGGATCTAAACGAAGTAAACACAGACTACTTAAGTTTTTCAATTCCGCGCGGACAAAGTCGCGGGCGACAGCTAACATTTAGAGGTAAAGTCAATTCCTCATGTTCAAATCTGAGCTAAAGTTATTCACCACCATTTCCATTAAACAGAATTACGACATATTTTAAATTGACCATAGCATAAGAAAAAAAACCGAATACTACCTTAAAGGTTTCTCAACCGGTTTTTATAAACGCATACAAAAACCTATTATCCCAAAGCTATTTTTCATAATTTATCCCTTTAGAAAGTTGTCTGGCCGTCCAAAAGGATAAATAAGAACGAAACTTATGCTCTTAGAAATGCATTAAAATGCTTATTATACACGCTTCATTAACAATCTGTTAGTCAAAACTTAATTAGTAGTCTATGTGTTCTTCCAGACTTTGTTCTATATGTATGACAAATTTCATCAAAATACATACAGCCGTTCTGGAGATACATTCTAATAAACATCTAAACATTCGCATTTATATAACAGTGGTAGAGCCCGCTTTAACATCGCACGAATTGGCCCGGCTCGCCCGGTGAAATACCACACAAGACAGGCGTGAAGTGAAGGCAATTCCGCGTACAGTCTGATGAGTGTGCGTCCCGGAGGCCTTATATAGTCCTCTTTCCCTTCCCACCCTTTTTCTTGATGGGAAGTGGAATTGGACTTTCCGGATGAGAGGAAGCATGGAAAGGGAAGATATTTTCTTTCTGTGCATCCTCTCCTCCATCCATTAAAGGTAGGCAACGCATATGCAATTGCTTATATCTATGGGCAACGGTCACTTCGCTATTTCAGCGATTTCAGGTGGCCGCTCGCTCGTTTGCCACCTTATCATATAAAAAAAAAATATTACTAGCTGTCGCCCGCGACTCCGTCCGCACGGGCTACTATAAATACATAGTAGCCGATTCTCAGACCTACTAAATATGCATATAAAATTTCATGAAAACGGTCAAGCCGTTTCGCAGGATTATGGGAACGAAAATTGTGACACGAGAATTTTATATTTAAAAAGATACGAGTTTTTTAAATTAAAATAATTTATCCAATTTAGAAATCAAATGACAATATTAAGAAAACCGGATTTAAAAACATTATTCTAGAGTTTTACACTAGCCTTAGCCCGCGACTTCGTCACAGCGTAGCTAACAAAAAATAATTCAAAGTTATTCCTTCCTACATTAGTTATCCAGTAAAAACCTTGTCAAAATCGATCCACTTATATCAGAGATTATAAACCCTGTCTTTCAAACAGACAGACAAAAAAAAAGAATTTTCGTTATAAGCAAATAAAATATAAAAAAAAAATATAAAATTTCCAACGATATAACATACAGACATTCAAATTATATATATATATATATTACAGTATTTTTCCACAAGAAACCAGAATATATTACTGATATTATGCGCGAATCTTCGAACGGATGTATGTTAGAAGATATCTCCAGAACAGCTGCATGGATCTTGCTGAAATTTGACATAGATGTAGAACATAGTCTGGAAGAACACATAGGCATACTAATTAAGTTTTATTTTCCGCACTGAGTCTTTAAACAAAAAGGGATAACTTTTGTACACTTATCAGCAGTGAAAACCCACGTTTAATACTTCTCATCTTTTAAATTAATTATAAATAAAAAACACTACATCAAATTATATCTACAAATGAACCAAACACAACACTAGATAAAAACCGGTCAATACATTGTAAACAAGAAACCAGACTTATTTACAATAACATATACACGACTCACGCAAACAAACAAACTGTTTTTGCCATTTACCATCAACATTATCGACTAAACTCTTCGACTCCATCACTAAATAAAGAAAAACAACCAAACTGCGCAAAACACTGTAAATAAATACGATTTAATAGACGCTCGACACGTCCACGCGACACGAGCGTCAGAACAACACTGAATAATATTTTTAAATTTAGAACGCACGCGTAAACAAAGCGCGCGACGTTGGGATTGCGTGGGCGCAGATTGTCGACCTACGTCTGATAATAAAACGTATGAATTTAAACTTTATATCATTAACATAAGGTTTATTTTATATATTACAGTGTTGGACGTTGTATGTTCTGACGTATAAATTTCGATTGGATGTGCATACATCGGTTATTGTGAATTAAAGCGTAAATCACAACGACAAAGCAAACTTAACACAGTCTTTTTAAAAAACACAATATGTTTATTACAACTAAACTATGATTGTCTTTTAATATCGTTATGAACTATTCGATTTTTAATTTTTTTTTATATTTTTAATAGAATTGTCTACATTTTAAACATTGCGATTTTCGACCGGAACATTTTTTCCTATGTATTTTATATTTTAAACTAGCGGTTGCCCGTGACTTTATCGACACGGAAAAAAAGCCTAAGTTACTCCCACGTTTATTACCCACACTCTGGCTAAGTCCAGATGAAATCAGTGCAGTCGTTTCTGATAATCCAGAACTAATGCTATCGCAGACAGACGGAAAATAATTTTAAAAATCGATTTTTTGATATAAACATCGTAAGATGTTTTAATCGTTAAATACAGACCTACTTTTAGACATTATTAGTTAGAATCCTTTGGCGCGAATGGCGCGTTTTCTTTACCAAGTGTCAGATGTAGTGAGGGGACATAAAAGTCGACATTTTAGGAAGGCTAGTGTTGTGCCAGTGTACCGGCACAATGTCGTATTTTATTCCTAACAGTACCAACCTATTTTTTATATATATGTAAATTATCTATGACATAGTTTATGTCATTTCTATATGACTTTCATTTGCTGTATGTTATGATATTATCATCATGTTAATTCAAAATAAAAAACAACGAATCACGAACCAAAACAATGGTTAACAGTATATTTTTAACATTGATTTTGCTTGATAAAAATGGAAAAATCAATCTTACTAATATTATAAATGCGAATATTTAGATGGATGGACGTTTGAAAGTATCTTCAGAACCGATGAACGGATCTAGACGAAATTTGTCATACATATAGAACATAGTCTGGAAGAACACATAGACTACTAATTGTTTTTTTATTATAATGCCGCACGGACGGAGTCGCGGGCGACCGTATGTATTTTATATATGTGTTTTAGCAGTGGAAACCTACTGTTAACAAAA